CCCCACTGCAAGAGGAGCTGCTGTGCCTCCCAAGAGATGCAGGAATCCCTGACTAAGGAATTTCTGCACTTTAATCCACATTTGGACCACCACTCCCAGTCTCCATCTGAACTCAAGCTTCAGCAGGAGAAGGTTGAGGAAATAATTATCATGCACCAATTAGCAGAAAAGAGGAATAAACCCAGGAAGGCTCAGCACACTTGTAACCATTAAAAATGCATGCAGACACCAAATGCTGCTCACCTCATTGCAGCAGGTTGAACCCTCAAAGTCAAAGTGATGCTTGGAAAATGAAGTGGAACCTCCCCTGCCCACTGCCACTCAGCAGGAGAGGAGAATTTTTGTTATGGAGGGAACAACCACAGCTCAAATCACTGCCTGGATTTCCTTGTCCAGCTTGGACAACCCCACCCCTTCAAAAACTGCAAAAGGCAGCCCTGAAATGTCAGTGCAGACAACACTGAAACACCCAAAAAAAAAAGAAAATCCCTAAAATTTATTTAATTAACTAAAAAAACCCAACTTCCGCATTGTTTTGAACATTGTAATTTTTAGCAGTTCCCAAATTCAAACCCACAGGACTGATTATAACCTGGGGTGAAAGTGGGTTTTAGTTGTTCTTGCTCTTCAACATTTTAATCCCAACACATTTGAGAGTATAAAAGGCAAAAGAAATGAGGTGTAAGCAGCAGTAGAGTGCTAATAAAGCTCTGCTCAAACCACATTCCAAGATCATATGAAATTTTACCTATTACAGAAATCCAGCTGAAGTAGTACCAGACAATTTAAAAATAACCTTTTAATGTTTTATATGTGTATACGTATAAAAACCCTGTAAATTTGCCCCTACCCAAGAGTTTTTGAATGTCCATAGTCCTAAAAGAGGTAGAAATTTCAAGCCTCTTTTTGTGCTCTACGTCCTTAAATTCTTGTACAATTCTGAGAGTTTTCTTTTGAGGAAACTTTTTTTTCCCCCTCATGCATGCACCCAATGCCTTGAAAAAATCAAATTTAAAAAAAGAAAAAAAAAGAAGCATTTTAAATGCAAAATATTAAACAACTGAAGACACACAGTCAACAGCTCATCAGCTTCCACAAGGACATAAATATTTGAATAGATAAAGAGGAATTCTTGCTAAGAACACAAGACTGAAGTCTTTCATTCTGTGTCAGCTTGAAGGCTACTCCCCCAGCAGATAGGAAAAAAAATCCAGTATATCCAGCCCAAGAAGTTGGAAACATCTCTGAGAGAGTTTCCAGCACCAGTTCTGCTCCATGGTGATAAACTGCAAAAGAAAATTCCAGTTTTTCCAAGGAGAAATGGGAGCAGTGGGATGTGTGAAGCAAGCATCTCCCTTGTTTAATGTAAAGCACCTTAATTTTCTGTGTAGGTCTTTGCAACTTCTTATCTCTCTCCAAACACACTTATCTTGTCTACACTTATTTAGCTTCCCCCATATTTATAAAAATCAGTGAAAAAAAGCCTAAAATTGCTACACAGCAAGATCTGCTGATCTTCCTGCACAACACAGGCATTTGGGATTTATCTGTTTAACATCAATGGTTGCCCACAAAACTTCAGCAAAGCATCCAACAGCACCACAATTCCAGACTGGTTTGGGCTGGGAGGGACTCAAAGATCTTTTTCCAAACCCCTGCCAAGGCAGGGACCCCTCCCACTGTCCCAGGTGCTCCAGCCCCAGTGTCCAGCCTGGCCTTGGGCACTGCCAGGGATCCAGGGGTGCCACAGCTGCTCTGGGAATTCCAGCCCAGCCTCTCCCCACCCTCACAACCAAGAATTCCAAATTATCCATCTCCCATCCATCCCTGCCCTCTGGAAGTGGGAGCCATTCCCTGTGTCCTGTCCCTCCATCCCTTGTTCCCATCCCTCTCCTGGAGCCCCTCCCAGCCCTGGCAGAGCTCTGAGCTCTCCCTGGAGCTGCTCCTCTCCAGGTGAGCCCCCCCAGGTGTGCCAGCCTGGCTCCATGGGAGGGATGCTCCAGCCTTTGGAGCATCTCCTGGCCCTGCCTGTGCCCAGCCCTGGTCCCCAGCAGTGCTCCCAGGAGATGCCAGCTGTGGTTTGTGCCCTCCTGTCCCCTCCTGTCCCCCTCAGCCCATCCCTGCACCTGAGCTGCCCCCACAGCCCCCTGCAACAACAAACTTGAGAAAAGATTAAAAAATCCATTTATTTCCTTTTAACTCTCTTGCTAAGGATGTCAGCAAGCCCCAGGGCACAGGAGATCAGGGTTCCAGCCCTGGGGAGGTGCAGCACTCCCCCCTGCACCCCCTGACCCCTGCCTGGGGTTTGGAAGCAGCACAGCACCCAGGGCTGCTCCCAGGCTCTGTGGGGGACAACCCTGCCACCCCAACACCCACTGCTGGCCCTGCCCTGATGGCTCCAAGGTGCCCAAAGTGCCAGCTCCAGGTGGGGCACCACGCAGGGATTCACACACTTTACACCAGTGTTCCCCCACTGCTGCCCTGATTTTTAAAAGTGTTAAGTTTTCTTTTGTAGCTCTTTTGAAAGTTTTAAAAGTTCTCATAAAACTTCTTTAACTTTCTGACAATGTTTACGTATTTGAGAGTCAGAGTTCCCACATAATTTCATGTATAAATAGAACAGTTTACATATTTATCTATGAATGAAGACAAATGATTGATTGCTCTTTAGACCAGTGTGGTTGGAGAGGTGATAATTCCAATAACTCCAATCCACAGACACCTTTAGAATTCTATAAATACCAGATGTTTGAATAAAATCGAGGGGGTTTTTTTGCTTTTAAACTTACCAAGCTTCTGTGTACACATTTAATCTCCAATAGCAACACCCCATCTGCCCATCCCTCACTCAGGTGTCAGCCCCAGCTCTGGGAGGTGCAGCTGATGTTCCCCTCCACCAGCAGAGATGGAAATGCTGAATGAGGCCTCTGATGTCACCCCCCAGTGCCACTGACACCTTCACACATTTCTGCCAGGCAGGATGCACAGCACCCACACTAATTCTCTCCAAAAACCCCACATTTACCCACCAAGTCAATGGTTTTGTTCTCTGTGACAGAGGCACGCATTTGTGCCAGGCAGGATGCACAGAACCCACACTCCCTCTCTGAAAAACTCCCACATTTATCCACACATTCAATAGTTTTGTTCTCAGACAAAAGCACACTTCTCTGCCTGGTGCTCACACTGGATACCTGAACATCATAAAAGCAATTTTACAAGCTGCAAAAAAGCCAATAGTAGCAATGATGTGCTCCAAGAGCTCAGTAATTAAGAGTCCAGAGGAGATGAAAGCAATAAATAATGAATGAAAGCTTGTCAAGGCTTCTGCAAGGCATCCTCAAGCACACTGAGCCCCACCCTGGCTCATCCCTCAGAGCTCCATCTGCCACCCCACAAACACAGCCAGGAGCTGTGGTCTCCCCAAGCCTGCAGAGCTCTGAACCTCAGCCACTGCTGCTGGGATCCCTCCAGTCCTTGCCAGGCAGTTTTCCTTCCTGCATCTCAGGTGAACACAACCAAATCAATTTTTGGGTTTTTTTTGGTTGTTTTTTTTTTTTTCTGCTTTTTTGGAATTTGGAGATTTTTGTGGGTTTGAGTTGGAATTTTTGGGGTTTTTTGGGGTTTTTTGGGGTCCCGGAATTTGGGGTTTTTTTTTTTTTTTTCCCATTTTTCCCCTGCAAGGTATAAATTGTGAAAGAAAAAAAAATCTCATGTTCATCTGCCTTCCTGCAGCAGGCCCTGCAAGGGAGTGTCAGGAAAAAAAAAAAAAATCACATTCCACTCCCATAATCTGCAAACTCCCTGCCTGTAAAACCCCAGAGAGCACACTCTGAGGCACAGCCTCCACCTGCCCATTTCCATTCAGGACAGATGCTGTGGCAATGAAATGAAAATACAGCTTTCCTGAAACGTGTAATATCCCTACTTTGTTATGAGATGATCCAGTCTTGGCCTCTGTGCTTAAAATACTCCTCGTCAGCTGCTTTATCCCCACTATCTCTTTTTGCTGTGTGCTCAGCACAGTGTCAGGAGCCCCAGAGCTCAGCTACAAAGGACTGGGGGCTTTGACTTGGGACTTTTCCAGCTCCAGGAACTTCTCCCACCTGCACAGGGATTTCCCATTGTCTGTCTTTGCAACCACCTGAGCAGGAAGAGTCCAGCTGTCCCCAAATCCTACCCCAAATCTCAGCCCCTTGATCATCTCTCAGCTGGGCTGGGTCAGGGGTTTCACCTTTTTTATAAACTCTGGTTGGAAGCACAAGGAGAAGTTCAAGGTGCAGCTTATCAAACACACACGTTTAGGGCAGTCTCTGTAGTTCTCCACGATGAAAAACATCCACTAACTTCTATATCCAGCCTCCTCTGCATATTAAATCTACCAGTCCTGTAATTCAGAGCTTTTGCTCTTTGATATCAGCACCACACACCCCTGTCCCAACTGCATGAGCCAATGCTCCCAAAGGCAGATGCTGTTTTTAAAAGGAACACATCCACCTTCAGGATGAAAGGTGGAGCTCCCAGTCTCTGTCACTACTAATTTTCATTTTTAAAATACATCCTCTAGGGCTTAAGATCCTATATTGAAGTTCCTGAACAGCCTCAGATAAAAATACATTAAAATATGAGGATCTACACTGTCAGCAGCATCTTAAGTATAATGTCTTAAAAAGACCTTAACTATAAGGTTATACAAGTTAAAAAAGCCAAACACCACTGAACCCAAATTAAGTTCTCTTTTTTAAATAAAAGTGAGGGTTTTGAAGCAATTAAAGGTTGGACTCAATGATCTTACATGTGTCTTCCAACTTAAATAATTCTAGAATTCTATACATTTACTTGCTCAAAGAAAATTCTTTGCCCGTTCACAAACCCTTCAGCAGAAGCACCAAGAATTAACCTTGATTGAAGTGAAGCCAGCTTTTAAGCACAAATAAGCAAATACTTCAGTGCCTTATTGTGGTTGAGGATGCAGAACTGGAGCTCTGGAAAGCACAAACCTTCACTATGACAGTCTGGTCAGAGTTGCTGCTCATCATCTCGTTGATGGACTTAAAGAGCTGCAGCAGAGACTCCCTGAAGTCTGCTTCTCCTTTGTTCTCATACAGCCTGGAAAAGAATTAGGTTTCATCAGCACAAACCACAGTGGAAATAGTGTTTTAAAAGATCTGGTGGGTCTTTTAACAATCAGACGATAGATGGAGATTTTTTGTCTTGCATTTTCTCAAGAATTTCTACAACTTCCTTCACCGAATCAAGAGCTTTCTTCCAAAAAAAAAAAATAAAAAACAAAACAAAACTCATGACAAGACAGACTGGCCAGGCTGGGCCAGCAGGAAGAAGGGATTTTTATAGTGAAGCTGTCTCTGTGAAATGCCACATGCAGCAGCACTGCTGCACTCCCTGGTGGATGCCTGAACATTCCCCAGTTCCCTGTGCCCAGGACAGCCTCTCCACTCTGCAGATGTCTGCCAGGACCCTCGTGCTGATGAAGGCAGAAAGCAGCCAGACAACTTGCCAGCAGTCATTAAAATCTACCAGTGGCCTAAGGTGAGTGACCTTAAACTCTGGGAAACAAAGAAAGAATGAACTCATCGACCCTCTTTTTGCTAAGAAGATAATTTTTTTTCTGTGGGAAGGAAGCACGGAGGTTAAATCATGTTTCAGCACTAATTTCAGGCTCAGTTTGCCATGGGGTCAGCACAGCTGACACAGAGCAATGACAGCCCCAGCTCAGCTGCAGGAACAAGGTCCCTGTGCCTTCAGGCAGATTCCTCACAGTGAGGTGCCCACTGGGATCCCCCCTCTCTCTCTCTCAGATGCTTTCAGGGGCTAAAAAACTGTACAGAGGCACCTGAGCAACACCAGAAGCCAAAAAAATACAGCCAAGGTGAAGAACTTGAGCCACTGGTACAATGAGTGCTCCTGGAATTCTCTGCAGTGATTTAAATGCAGAACCTGCCCTGCTCCAAGTGTAGGATGGCAAATCCTCACTGGAAAAGGAGGGGGAGACCACCACTGGCTCCACATCATCCTGAGAACTTCTCCTCCTTGGGCAGCACATGGGACTCACCCACACCAGGGCTATTCAGCCTTTCCATTATCAAAAACCGGGATCTGGAATCCAGATTAAATCTGAACAGGGGAGTTACAAACACCACATGGGACTTGCAGGCCAGGCTGGATGGGGCTTTGGGCACCCTGGGACAGTGAGAGGTGTCCCTGCCCCTGGCAGGGGTGGAATGGGATGAGTTTAAGGTCCCTTCCCACCCAAACCACTCCATGAATGCTTCCCCCAGTTAAACCCCATCTTTACCCAGTCAGCTCTGATGGATCAAGAGCCTCAACAACCCAACAAGAACAGCTGGGCTTGCAAAGCTCTGCCTGGCCCAGGGGCTCTGATCCCCCCAGACACCTGCACCAAGACCCTCCATCTTCTCCTGGAATTAAACCCAGTAGGAAGGTCTTGAATGCAGTCTGCAGCTCAGAAAGGGAATTCCATCCAGAAATTTGCTAGATACAATCATTGTACTGTTTCATCATGCTCCAATGTGAAAAATGCGTATTATATGGCTCTATGCAGATAGTTACTATATGTATAATGTTATATTGATTAGTTGTGCTTTTGTAGTTAAAATGAAGACTTTAGTAGTTTTAAAAAAATATTATATATATAGAGACTCTGTATGGGGGGGGGAAGGTTTTTTTCTTTTTCTTAGGAATGAGATACTCAAGGAACACCTAAATCTTCCAAAGGAGAGGAATTTATGGCTTCTTATCAGAATTTCTTCAGGCCTTGCTCAGACTGGAAGATGCCATGAGGATTAAAGGAACAGCTGACATACAACAGACAGAGTTTCTTGTTTAGAATAGAATGGATGCATAACCATGAAGGTGTATGAATATGCAACAAGTGTATTGGTTTAAGGGTGATTCCTTTGTTCACAAGGGATGCTTTTCATGCTTTACTGTCAAGAGAGATAGCAGACGTCCCTAATTCTTTGCCTTTTATTGTCTTGTAATTGTCCTAACTCTACACTTTATTACTCTAATTATATGATTATTTTTATAACCATTTTATTATTATTAAACTTTAAAATTTTTAAAAACCAAGTGATTGGCGTTTTTCACATCCAAGATCACAGAATCATGGAATGGTTTGGGTGGGAAGGGATTTTAAATCCCATCAAGTCCCACTCCTGCCAGGGGCAGGGACAACTTCCACTGTCCCAGGTGCTCCAGCCTGGCCTTGGGCACTGCCAGGGATCCAGGGGCAGCCACAGCTGCTCTGGGCACCTGTGCCAGGGCTGCCCACCCTGCCAGCCAGGAATTCCTTCCCAATATCCCATCTATAAAGCTACATCATGATGGATCACATATTGCAGCTGGAAATGGGCTTTTCTTGGGATAAGCACAGAGTTCAGGATGTTCCTGCTGCTTTACACTGAAGTTAATGTGTGTCACTTTTAGCATTGTGCTCATAAACCTTTGGAAGCCTCAGATATGAAAAAGTTTATTTTAACCTGGACACAGAGGAAATAAATACTACAGAAAAAAAAAAATCCACACCACTTAATTGTGTTATTTTGCTGTGCACAGTTCTATTCCCCTTTCAGGCTAAAACTGGGGGTTATGCAGGATAAAAACCTTGTTAAGTGCCCATTTCCATAATGGATTTCAGTGTCCCCCTGAACAGATTAGAGAGGTGAAACTTATACCAACAGAAAGAGTAACTGAACTTGACAGCCCAATAAATCAAAGTGCTTCAGACAAAAAGCTCTGCCTTTCAAAAAGGAAGTTATAATAAAAATAAACAAGTTAGTCACAAATGTGTTCCTACTGTCAGTTAATAACATCTATTTATTTAATATACCTGATACAGCACAAAATCTCTGCAGCTGTGAGAAATCAAGGTTTACACCAGGCTGGTCCTTCCAGTACTGCCTGGAGGATTTTAAGACTGTAGTGAATACACCACAGGCACTGGGATCATTACTGAGGAAATCAGAGGTTTTTCTAAAGGTCACTTGTAAGATTTTGCCTTTATCAACCTTTGCTGTAGTGAACAAACAGATGTGCTACCATGCTTTAAAAGTGGATGAACTTCCATGGATTTATCCAGAACTCAACTGCTAAAATGCTCCATCCATCCATGGAGCCCACCACCCCTTCCTGAAGTTAAAAACATGCCATGTTTTGGAGTATAAAAGCTTCAGCTTGCTGCTTGTGATTCCTCAGAGGAGCAGCAGCCATCCTGCATTTTAGTCACTCCAAATCACAGCCCCCAGGCAGGGCTTCAGTCCTGCAGCAGAAAATAATCACAGGCTCCTTCTGCATTCAGTAATTTCACTGATTAATCCCTTGGCATGCAGGGTTGGGTCTCACACTGAATTTGTGGAAATCCCACAGCCAGTCCTGGAGGGTCAGACTGTCTGTAAATCCAATCTGCAACCAGAGGGAATTTTATTTTTTCTGTTTTCAAGTGATTTGTAGGCCCTGCTCCAGCCTCAGTGACATCCAGTATTTTATGAATCTCGCAGCAAGGCTCCTACAGAAATAAATTCCAAGCTTTAAATTAGAGAAAAGGGTGGTGGAGATGGTAACTGAAGAGCTCTACATAAATCCCTTGCAATGAGGCTGTTCCCACTGCTAACAAGCAGTAAAAGGACTCAATCTAAGTGAAGATCCCATCAGCTTGGTTTATAACTTCTGTAACATCTTGTGTATAAAACACAATACAGCAACAGAAGTTTCCCCAAACAGTGCCAAGCTTTAATTGTTCAGAGACCTCAACTATGCTGATTTTACCAATTCACTGCTACTGAAAATACAGATCTCTGCTAAAGAGGGAAAACCCTTCCCCTGAAATATTTCCCACAGCTTCAAGCATTTGTAGAATAGTGCAATACTAAGCAGTTTTAACTGCTGGACTGTAAAATGTTGGCAGTTTTGGGGCATTTTTGGCAATACTCACTGGTTGAACAATATCCTGGACCGGACAATGAACTTGAAGATGTATTCCAGGGCTTTCATGGCTTTGAAGAGTTGATCAGTGATCCCACACTTCTCAGCATTGTCCACGTATGTTTTTAAAACCTTGGTCAGTTTTCTGTTTAAATACAAAAAAAAAAAACCCCACACACAAGTTATAAGTATTCTCACAGAATTTCCATTCTGAAGGGTTTAAAGAACAATTATGTGTCCACAGAGCTACAAAGTTAATTATGCAACTAATAAACGCATTATGGTTTTGTTTTGCAGATAAGTGGCTGGAATTTATTCTTGAGCAAAAAAAGAAAAACCACAGACCATAACCTCATTTAACACACAAATAATGAAATGAATTTCAGTAAGGCTGAGTTTTTGCTGGATGTTCAGATGGATATTCAGATTTAGGCTCTGAGAAAAATGCACCCACTAATAATAAATAAACAAAGTATAAATAAGAATAAAAAATTACAAGTGTTTCTAGTTATAATAAATAATTATAAATAAAAATAACTAAATACAAGCATACTGTTAGAATTAATACAAACTATGAGTTCCTTCATTCAGCAAGGCTTCCCCTTTAGAAATCTTTCCCATGGATTTTGGGCTGAAATTTGTAAAATTTATTCCTCAAAGTACACACTAGCAGCTAGAAACTCTCTTCTTCCCCATTTTAAAGCCTATCAGACTTGAAAGTGAAACAATTTTCAAAATAATCCCATTTCAGCTCCCTCCCTTCCAATGAATATAAATCAGGGCTTTAATGCAACCACGAGCAATTCCATTTTAAATCATCCCAGCTCCAGTGCATGATCCAACATCCCCACTCCAAGTAAACAAGCTGCACATTATTCCCCACTAACAGAAAACAACACTGAGCTCACAGAGATCCTGCTGCCTGGGGATTTGTTGGAGCAGGAACAAACTGCCTGAGAATTCCAAGTAAGCACTTAATATTGCCAAGGCCACCTCTCTTTGCTGAAGGTTGGGCTGGATGATCTTGGAGCTCTTTTCCACGCTGGATGTTCCATGAATAAAAGGCAGGGTGAGAGCAGGGATCTGTCACACCCATGGGGACACCTCAAACCAGAATTCAGCCTTTCCCTGTCTCTGCCTTCCCTCGAGGGAGGGAAGGATGCTCTCCATGCCATGAGAGGACCACCCTCAGCTCCTCCTGAGAAGTTCAGGATGCTCCACCCAGAGCTGCAACAGCAGCAAGTCAGTGACCAAAATATCAGCCTTGAGACGGCAGGCTCAAAAGAATTAAAGAAGGATCATGGAAAGGTTCTGCCCCAGAGGGTGCTGGCACTGCCCAGGCTCCCCAGGGAATGGGCACAAGGCTGCCAGAGCTGCAGGAGGTTTGGAAAGCACTGCCAGGGATGCACAGACTGGGATTTTGGGGTGTGTGTGCAGGGCTGGACTCAGTGATCCCTGTGGGTCCTTCCAGCTCAGGATAGTCTATGATTTCATGATTCTTCACCATTTTAAATCAATTTTTTCAAATTTTTTCAGGTCCCTTAACAGAGACTCAGCATCAGCAAAGGGCACCCCAGGTTTTCTGGTTTGGTTTTGCCTTCCCTCCCCCCAGTACTGCAAAGATTTTCATTGGATATTCTTCCTCCAGTGTAACACAGCAGCAAAGATTCCATCTGTCACAAACTACTTCAGACAACAAAAATAATGGGACTTTTTTTGTCTTTCACTGCTTCTTCCCCACATTGACGGTAATGTGGATAATCAGGGTACAGTGTCATTTAATGCACAAAAAAAACCCAGTATTTGAAGCATCTTAAATGGACATTATTTACTTCCAATACGAGTGAGAATTGCTTCTGTTTTCCTTACAAAACAACTCCTGAAATTGTCAAATCATCCCCCTTCTTCATTACAGCACTATCAAAAGATACATACACAAGTAACTAAATAACATTACCTGGAGAAATTCTCAGAGTCACATGAGGAAAAATAAATTTTCTGACTTACGTGTAGGCCAAGGTAGCACTGAAATGCTTCTTGATGTAGGTCTCCAAGACAGGGTTGAAATGCTGGAATTTTCTGTCAGCAATCAGCCCAATGATAAATACCTGGAAAAAAACCAGCATAATTAGTGTGTTAGTCTCAAAAAAAAAAAAAAAATTTAATTTTTGTGCATTCCCCTTTCTTCTCAGAGAAGAAACATTACTGACATTAAAATTTCTGTTCTGCTCCTGTCCTAAATTCTGCTGGTAATCCATTAAAAGTGACTGGATTTCAGTGCTTCCTTATTTCCTGGGATGATGACATGATATAATCCAACTCCCTCTGGATCTGAACATTTAAATATAGCTTTTAAATTAAATAATAACTCTCAGCTCAGATCTTTTCCATTAATAAACTTGATTCTATCATTAATTCCCCATTTTTAGGTACATTTCAGACCCTCCCCACTGCAAGCTCACCAAAGCATCAAACACCAAAGTGTCAAAGGTCTCACTCTCCGAGTTCTCCATCATGATATTAAAAAGGGCATCCAGTGTATCTTGAAGAAACTACAAAGAAACAACACAGCTCTCATCATGTTTTCAAAGGCAAATTAAATTGAGGTTCCACACAGGTTTCTACAGGTATTTTTACTAAAGTAAAGGCATTTTAAGTTAGCTAAAAAATGACAAATCCAACACTTTTCAGCAGATTATTTTTAGTCAAGTTGATTATCTATACACAGGTTATCACTCCAACAGAAAAAATGAAGTCAGAAATCACACTTGGCACACCTGGACAAGGATTTTCACCTGTGACAATACTCCAACAACAAGAATTTCCAAACTGCAGCTTCACCACACGGTCACCATGCATTGCTGAAAATTTGGGTGTTTCAGAGCACAAACCACACAAGCAACTGAGTCTCATGCCAAGGGGAAGTGGGAGCTGAGCCCTGGGAGGCACTCGGGACATCCCCACAGTCCCAGCTGGGTCACACATGCAGGAATGGGAACAGAGCACCCCACTGCTGCCCCAAACCTACACAGCAAGGGCTTCACTCCCCTGCCTGGGCACCCCATCTGTGCAACACCACAGGAAAAGCAGATTAGTGCCAGGGGCTTCCCAGTAAAGCACAAGGACAAAAGGTCCCTAATTCCAGGAGTTCTTCCCAGAGGCAGCCAGGAATCCATGCAGTGCCAGAGGTACTCATCACTTCTGCTGCAATGGGATTGTGTCTGAGCAGCTCCTTCCTCCAGCTGGCACAGACACACAGGGGCTCCTCCAGGGCACAGCCAGGCTGCAGCACAGCTCAGTTTGGGTTGAGAAAGAAGGGGTTAAATGTGGATGGTTCCAGCACATCTGTCTCAAATCATCCCAGGATGGTTTGGGTTGGAAGGGACCTTAAATCCCATCCAGTGCCACCCCCTGGGACACCTTCCACTGTCCCAGGTGCTCCAGCCTGGTCTTGGGCACTGCCAGGGATCCAGGGGCAGCCACAGCTGCTCTGGGCACCTGCGCCAGGGCCTGCAAAGTAAAATGCAAAAAAAAAACAAAAAAAATATTCTGCCTTGTAGATGAGACAGAAGGAAGACTATCTCAACAAGCAGAAGGGAATTGATCCTGGGGCTCCAGCTCCAAGAGGCATTCCCCATCCTGTGAGAGGGATGGAAAACTATCCTGCCTCCCACCTTCCTCCTTTAAAAATGTTCAGCTGTTCAGTGAGCCTCCTGGTCAAGCCTGATCCACCTGATCTCCTCAACCTACAGTCAAATGTCAGGAGCTAACCCCCATGCACAGCTGAATGTCAAACTCCTTAAACTGACTGAACACTGACTCACAGTCCGTGCTGCTGAGGATGAAAAAACACAAAAGCCCAAATTCTTGCAGCTGATCTTCGCCCAGCCCTGGGGAAGAGCCAGCTCATCATTTCACCATGGGGGCAAAGGGAAAACATCACCTTCTCACAGCCTTACTCATCCCATTAAAGAAGATGTGCAAATAAAGCACATTAAAGGCTGGACTTGATGTTCTGGAGGTTGAACTCTGTGATCTCAGAGGTCTTTTCCAACCTAAATGGTTCTGTAATTCTAAATGATTCTGTGGCTGCTGCCAGCTGGCAGGGAGGGAAGTGCAAAGCACAGATTTGAGCCTCGACAGGAGAAGATTCTCTCTTGGTCTGAAGAGAAGTTGCACTCTTGGGTCCCACACACTGAGTCCCCTGGAAGCCAAAGTATGGTTGGGAGGCTGATCAAGCCTTGATTTCACATTCAGGCACCTCAGCCTGACTTTCATGAGCAGAGTTCAAGTCTGAAATCTGTTCACCAGGACTTGGTGTAGCAGCAGGAAGAGCACAGCAGAGATGCTGCTGCTGTGTGAAGGGGCAGACATTTCTCAGGTGGCATGAATAATTCCTACACTATTAGTTTACATTCTCATACTGCACAGACTCTGCACAAATGGAGCCAGAGCCTCTGGGGAAGGGAGATAACATTTACAGCTTCCACACGCTCTGGGAACAGGCACAGAATGGGGATCTGAGCTCATCTCCACTCAAATAAATGATCACCAGTAGACCCAGGCCCTTTACTGGGAGTTTTTAAAACAGGCAATGGCTTAACAGAAAATAGGAATGTGTTTTATCACATCAATACTTTTTTCTAAAGATATCCAGGCTGCACTGGGTATTGTAGTTAAAAACATGAAGGGCAAAGAAAGCTGGAGGAACAGAAAGGAACAGCTACAAACCAGATCCTGCAATGGGGCAGCTCCCACAGAGATAGAACACTGCTGCAACAGATGGAGAATGTAAGCACTGGACCTCTAAAAGAAGGATAAAAACAGTGGTGGGAGCACTATTAAACACTCCCTCTTCTGCCCTCTGCCTGACTCCAACTGTGCTGACATCCCTGGGAGCAGAAGGGAATCTCACTGGGTCCTGAGCATGTGCCAGCTGGAGAATTCACTCCAAAACTGCTTTTACTCCAAGCCCACTTGTGGTGCATCCTGAGGAAATCCCTGATCCCACCCAGCAGGAAGGTGCCACGCACCCTGGGATGTCACACTTGGAGAGGAGGGAGAAGTCCAAGGCAGAGCCATGGCAGTGCCCAGCAGGAGCCAGTACCACGGGCAGGATTCTGCTCTCAAATGATCCAGGACAAAACCACAGCAAGCAGAATCTTCCTCAAACACAGATCTGTGGGACCCCACTTTCCCCACCCTCCAAGGAGGACAAAATCAGCATTCCCAGCTGCTTTAAGTTACTTTAAACTGAGGCTTCATTATGCTTCTATTAAACAACTAAAAATCCCCTGAAGTAAGGGAAGAACTCTCCAGGGTCACCTGTCCCCAAGTATATCTTTTGACACTCTTTTAGATTTGATTTATTACAACACCTTCCATAAAGTCCCAGCCTTCTCTTTTGCACAGCTAAATCTGTCTTTATGTAGCTCCCTGCAATCACTCAGTGGCCTTGGCAAATGTAAATAACTTGGCTCAGCTAAATGTTTCCAGAAGTATTTTTTAGAAGAAAACAACAGCAGCACACCCTAAGATTGCATTCCACATCCATAGATCAAAAATACATTTAACATCACCATGTAAGACTTCCAAGATGGTCTAATCTTCCAAAGAAACATACCTTTTCTTCATGTGTCTGTATATAAAAATTCACCAAAGTGCTAGGAAAAAAACAACCCAGCTTTCAGAAATGTGCATTTGATGTGTGTTTTATCAGCCCTCAAACATCTGAAATATTCCTGGAGGGCAGGGAGAGGAGCATCAGCATCCTGAAGTTTGAGGTTCCTGGTTGCAATATAATGTGCTAATGAGTGCAGTGAGGTTGAGGGGGAGCCAAAAAAAGGCACCTCAAAATCTGGGATTTTTACAGACTTTAACTCATTACCTTGACCACTTCACCACCATCAACTTTCATCAGCTGCTTCAAGTTCTGGTGCAACAGGCTCGTGTTGGATCTCCACTTCAGCAGTCCCAAGAGATCAACTAGGAGTAAAAAAAAAAAAAACAATTATCTCCTGCAGGCTCTTTCCCTTTCCTCACTCTCCATCACCATATGCAGGACAAAGTTTTATTTCCATACTTCAGCCTTTTTCCCTGGACAACAGTGTATTTCTGGTACCCTCTGGTGCTGCAGAAAGCTGGGACAATCCTTGTGCCCAGACAGAACTCAAAGGCTTTCAGAAAAGCAGCCAGCTTTTGAAATATCAGCAGGAAAATCTAGGCCAAGGAATCCTGGTCCCTGGGTTTTTGATTTGCTGTACACAACAGTTGTGTATTTAGGGAAAAAAAAAAGCCAAAATGAAATTAGTCAGCCACCAACACAGTAGTATCTACAGGGCGGTGACTCTCCCAGCATTAATGGTTCCAGCTTCTCTGCTCTCACTGCATAAACTGGGAAGAAAATAAAGCACAAAGAGTTGCAAACTAACTCAGAGTGGGGGCAATGAATATCTGCCAGTGCTCAGTGCTTGGCTGCTCCCAGGGCATGGACCCTGAGGCCCAGCCCAGATCATGCCAGTGCTCCCATCCCCAAACCCTGCAGCATTCCCTGATGGATAATGCAGGAGGCCAGCTCTCTCATTTGTGATTAGACATTCCTCTAGGGAAACTCCTGGGGAGGGGCTCTCAGCAGGGTTACCTGCAGAGCAGCAGCTCCCCAGTGAATACCAACCCCAGCCCAGACCCCAAACCCCACACTGCTCCTGCCTTGGCCAAAGCAGCCCCAGGGGAAAGTTCTTCCCCATGGAAAATCAGCTTTCAGCACAAAACAGAACTCCCAGCAACTCCTGCTCAGGAGAAGCCTTCAGTAACAAACTGAACACAATGATCACAAAGGTCTTCTCCAAGTTCAATGATTTTATGGCTAATTTAAAGCCTCACTGCCTTCAGTTTAGCCCCTGGCCCACATCCCCAGATAACTCATACTGTGTGAATTGTGCCCAAACTCACTCAAAACAGGCACTTTCTCCCAACAAATACCCCCTCATCACCTCTTTGCTATTCAGGCTTTCAAAGCAACCAACACAACGTTTACCAAGGCATGACTCTGCAGAGTTTGTTCTGGAAATCATCTGCAAAGACTTAAAGCAGCTGCTAGGCTTTTCTCAAAAACCTTTCATTTGAAGTAATAAATGAAATTACTCCTAGTGGAAAGCCCTACAGTACTCCTTGGAAAGAGTCCCCTCTGAGCAGCACTCAAACCAAGCCTTCTCATCATCTCTTTGTGAGGAGAAATCAAGGGAGTTTTACTGCATTAAAGCTTTGAAAGAGTTGAATCCAAGTCCTCCATTCCCTTTTAATGCATCCTACGAGAAGTCTATAGCCTGAACCCAAAGTCTTAGAAACTCAGTATTAAAAAAAAAAAAAAAAAATTGCTTCTGGAAGCCAAGCAAAGATGCCTCCATGAGTTACCCAAAGTGTTTCATGGATATATTTATATCAGCTTCCCACCCCTGAATTTGGCTGCAGTCTGACTTCTAACAAGGCATCAGCTTGACAGAAGAAATGATGTGAACAAAAGCCAGCCCACAGACGAGCTCTGAACAGCATCATGGATTGCCCCAAGAAAACAAACCCACGTGGACTGGCAGCGTGATGGCAGAGCAAATGCTAAATGAATATACATTTGTGAGCACAAAATGTCAGTGCAGGCCAGCTGAAAGGGAAAAATAACTTACAGGGGATGGAAAAATGGGCACTCGCTGGGAATGCAAGCATTAATTAACCCCAGCAAAGCAGCAGTCAGGCAGCTAATCCCACTCTTTCCACAGGGCTGTGTGTAAAATAATGCAGAAAAAGGATTTAAAACAGTATTTTAGCCTACAGGAAACAGGAATGATGGAGTAAGCCTAGGTCAAGGGACATTTGAGATTAGAAAACATCCAGAGGAAGACAGAATGAGGTTGCCCAGAGAAGCTGTGGCTGCCCCTGGATCCCTGGAAGTGTCCAGGGCCAGGTTGCAGCAATGTGCAACAGTGGGAAGTGTCCCTGGGTGATCATTAAGGTCACTCCCAACCCAAACCAGTCTGGGATCTGTGAATTCCCATTAAACAAACAGACTGCAAAGTCCCCAGCAGCAACTGGGCTTTATTAATGTGATTTATTATTCTAGGGACTGCATCTGAAGATTGTTCTTTTACAAGGTATTTAACAAGTGGAAGGAAACACCCCAAGTTCCTGCCTGTCTGCTTTCCTTAACCTGGATCTATGCAAAACTTCCCTACAGAAACACCCAAACTTCTCCCAAAGCCCAGACACTGAATTCAGCTAGATATTTCCCCTCTAACTAAATTCCCATCTGTTCTTTGAAATTCTCTGCCTTCTTGACTTTAACATTTGATTTTCCAGTCTGTGTGATTTTTATTTTAATTCTGTGCTTACATCTTCACTTTTTATGCCACCATAGCGCTTCAATTTGTCCTCTGTGTGTGTTGGGTGTTTTTTAATTATCAATTGTGCTAAGTCAAATTTCTCACAAGCGTTCTCCAAAATCCTGGTCCCCCTGTTTCCTCCAAGTCTTGACTCCAGTGAAGGAACAGCCACTCTTATCCAGAGATCGGAGTCCTTCAGGCAGAAGAGAAAACAGAAATTCTTGGAATAAGCTTTCGAGGTGCCCTGGATGCTTCCAACAGCAAATCCACAGGGACAGCACAGCCAGCTCTGCCTACTGATAACTGAACATTTTCCCAGCCATTAATGCAATTCCAGCTCTGTTCCTGAGAATCAAAGGACATCCTGGAAGAGGCACCAGGAGCATTTACTTCCACAGGCACTGAGGGTTCCTCCTCCTGCTCTTTGTCTTGTGTCACCAGTCTTCCTCAAAATTAACTGCAAAATCCAGGAAAAGGTCAGGGAATGTCCTGCTTTAATAAATTCTGCTCATATCACTAAAAACTGGTCAAGTGCTAAACTGAGTAGACACCTCACACCATCACTCTCTCTCAAAGTCTCAGCAGTGGCCAAGTTTGTTATTTTGAAGACTTTTCCATGCTAAGGACATCGATTACTGATGGAAAAGGAACATTAAAAACTCACAGTTCATAGAGAACCGAAGTCAAGGGAGTGTTCAAAGAGCTCAGACACAAAAAAGTCTCTGCACCATCAAACACCATGCAGAAAAAGCCAGATTCAGAATTACTAAAAATAAGTCTTAAGGCCAGTTCTAAGATAGTTATGGAGGGTAAAGAAAGAACTACTATAGGCAACAAAAAGGAGAAAAAATTTGCTTTGGTTCAACATTTTTGTAAGTGAGGATGAAAACTGATTTTTATTTACTTGTTTTTTAAAAGAGTTAAAGAAAGAATATTAACCAACCCTTTTACAAAACTTAAAATCAGCCTCAGAAATCATCATCTGAAAACCACTGTCAACTTTTAGATGAAAACTGATACGTGACGGAGGAACTTAATGATGATTTTTTGGTTTTGTTTCTTGGTGATCTTGCTTAATAATGTCACAGTACTTTGAAGAGAGAGAAAAGACTTTGGCAACTCTGAGGAAAAGTTTCCCAGACAACATAATTAACAGCAGCATTAAATAAAGATCAGGTCTTCAAAGCAAACAATATGTAAATTAAGCACCAAACAATGCTCAGGCTTAATTTTAATAGCAGTTCTGTGAAAGCCACGTCAATATATTGATCACTGGGAAACACTTTTAACTACTGACAAGCACTAGGGAAGGCTGAAGGGAAAAACAGCTCTGATTTTCTGGCAAAAAAGCAGTTTAATTCCAGATGTTGGATCCTGCCCTCCCAGTCCCAGCCCCACTGGGGATTGGGAGAGCAGTGTGCTGCGAGCCCATCTCTGCTGGGAAATCCTACAAGCACATCCCAGTTTTTGTGCCAGGCTCCCAGGCTGCCAGCCTGCAGTGGATGAGATGTGTTCTGCATGTGAAACAGCCGGGATGAGCTGGGAGATGCCACCGGGGCTGGAGTCACAACAGCAGGGACATCCCCCCGGGCAGAGGGGACTCTGCAGTGCCATGGTGATCCCCACCAGCTCCCCAAAACCCCTCCTGAGTCACAGCAGCTCCCTGCAATGCCTCACTCCCCGTGGAATGACCCTCCCACGCTGCTGGTGCAGCCAGCCATCGCTCCATGGCAACCGAGCCCGGAATTGCACGGAGGGCACAGGCTGCAAATGGGAAATATTTGCTTTGGTGGCTGCCACCAGCTTCCCACAGCCTTGGGATGCACTCAGCCAGCTGACAAACAGGAGAAATGCACGGAATGAGAGGTTGAAAAGGAACACACCAAGCCAAGGGCACTCCTGGGAAGGTGTGGGAATATTGTAAATGCAGGAGAACCCAATGGGAAGAAATGCTGATGTCTGACTCAATTCATAAGGCTGAATGATTTCTTTATTGTAACTATGCTAAAATACTTTAATATACTATATAAAAGGAGGATACTAAAACTACATTCTACTTTCTCTGATCCTCTATCTCCAACACAACTCGTGCCCCTCTCTAAGAGCCCAGCCCCAGGTGGGTTGGATTGGCCATCAGGCTCAAACAATCCTCACCAGAATCCAACCAAGCAAACACCCCAGGGAAACAATTCTCCAAACACATTCCACATGGGAAAAACAAGGAGCAGAAATAGAAACTGTTTTCTCTTTTATTTCTCTCTGTGCACCTCTATGAAAAATCCTGAGAGTGAGAGAAATGTGCTTGCCACGTGGGAAGATGAGGGTGACCTGCAGGTAACACAAAGGAAGAGAACATCAGAGGGGTCCTCAGCCCTGAAATATGGATATTGCACCTTGGAATAACAAACCAGCATGTCTGGGAGCAGAGCCCTGATATTACCTACTCTTGAGAGCAAACTCATCCCCTCCCTCAGTGCTATTTTTCAAAGAAAAGTGAAATGCCACAGAGCCTGTTTCAGTGGATCTCAGGGCAAGAGCCTCAACTATGTGGGAAACAATAACTTGGGATTCTTCTGTTTTTTCAGAGACATCAACTGCTCTGGAGCAAAACTGAGGAAAGCTTGGATGGTTCACACACTCACCCAACACAGTCTAACCCAGCAAACATGGAATGGGGATGGAGAAGGCAGCAAAGTCAGCACACAGATCCCAGCACTGCTGGGAGGAGCAGGAGCTCCAGCAGCCCTGGGGACTCACCATTCTGGGTAAGTTTTGTTGAACAGACCAGGGTGGAAATCTGGAAGGAGTCTTTGCTGATGGTGCAGCTCCCAAGGTTCTGCATGCTCTTGCCTGTTGCTGAGTGTCCCTTCTCCTCCAGCTCAATTTTTGTGGATGGCAGGCTGAGATAGGTCGAGGCATCCTCCAGCTTCTTGGCCTCTGCCTACAGGGATGTTTGAAACACAGCAGGAGAAAATAATCCAGTCAAAACCTCAGCAGTAAGAAAATTTTAACCTTTATACTGGGTTTCCTTAGGTCTGGAGCTATCAAATGCATCTTTAACACCAATTTAGTACTAATCTGGCTACATTAGAGCCAAAATGGGATTATTTAAAAGGCCACAGAACTCACTTATCCCAACCCACAAAAAAACTCAACAAATCCTGTTGAAATTACAACATATTGAAGGCTTAACACTCAATCTCCCATATAAGCAAACTGCTCAGAACTTGCTGCTTAGTTTGATTTAACAGCAGAGTTAAAAACACATTTTCCAGTGTAATTCTGGTAATTCTGGAACAGAATTCCCCAGAAGCCATTTAGTGGAGCTTCCCTGCTGGGAAGTCAAAATTCTACCTTGTATACTATAAGGTCGTGCTCTCCATCCCTCAGAGTTGTCCCATCATATCTCATGAGCTTCACAAATGCCAGAGCAAATATTTTCTCAGATTTATCCTTGGCTGTTACGCAAAAAAAATAAAAAAATAAAAAAAAAAAAACCGAAAAACAAAAAAAAAACACTGATAAAAAACAAAAAAAAAAAAAAAAAAAAAAATCAATCACCACAATTATTTCTACAGTCAGGACACCTAAATCTCACAAACATGGACAACCTATCAGTGAGCGACCACAGCAAAAATTCTCATGTAAATTAAGTGTAGAAAAAAATAGGAAAGTTTTCTAAAAGCAAGACATAACCAAAAAAAGAAAAATGAACACATCAACAATAACCAGATGCTTCTTATTTCCATATTCTGTCTGTTCTTCTTGGAAAGCTTCATAAAGGCAAATTTCAAAAACAAAACAGAAAAGTGATGCATTGAGAAAGCCCAGGTTTTTAGAAGAATGGCAGTGTCTGGCAGCTGGAATAAAGATTAAACACCAGCACTGAGGATCTCATCAGAGCACAGAGCCCTGAGGACAGACATTTGGAGGGGGAACATTAGAAGCAAAACAAAAACTGGATCCATAAATGCAGATGAAGTGCCTCAGATTTTTGAAAGCTGACCCATTCTGCAGCCAACAGGAACTACAAAATGCATTCAGCTTGTTCTTGGTCAAATCTGTTGGCAAAAATTTAAAAGAAAAAAGCAACAGATGAAGGAGAGATCACAAAGGAAGCTGAGAACCAAAGCCAGAAGGAAAGTGTCATCACCTTGGGACAGCCCAAGGAGCCTGGGAGAAAGCTCTGAAAGGGGCTCTTGTTAATATTTAGGAGTGACCTCTTAAATATTTAGGTTGTGGCCAACCTAAATATTTGAGTCATTCTAATAACATTTCCGACTCTAATAATTTGTTGCACACAATCATAATTCTGATAATAATGACACTGACTTTAAGAACACTGTTTTCCTTAAGAAGTATCATTGTCTAGATCATTTCATTAATATTCTTAATCCCAAAGTCTTCAATTAGTGATGCTAAGCCAACTCTAAACTTTCACATTCTCATTTGATGAAGATCTTTATTAGTCCCTACCTCTAAGATACAGAATACCACAATCCTCTGAGTTATTAATGAAAAGCTTTACTCCATTAGTAACCAAAAAAATTTCATTTATCCCCTTTGGGGGAAAAAAACTGGGCAGGGAAGGAAAAACTCAATCAAGATAGGTAAGAGTGAGGAAGATGTAATGAGAAAAAGGAGCCGAGATATGACAAAGTGTCACAAATTTAATCCCACACTAAAAGCAATGACAATGATCAGTTCTAGATTGGGAATGTGGGAATAGCATCTCTGCTCCAGGAATTCCCAAGGATGATGCCTTGTGCAGGCTGTCCTAGAGCAGAGGCTCTAAAAATGAACAGTTCATTTCCAAAGGGAACTGAATAGAACAGGGTTGGAATTAGCATCACTTGTTGTGAATTCCTAAACAAAAATAAGATGTTGTCAGATATTGAAGCACTGGACACCTGCAAAGCCACACCACATGAAAGGTATTTTGATGTGCTCAGATGATGGAAACATGGAATGCTTTGGAAGGGATCAAAGGTGATCTTCCACTGATGCCTTGTGCAGCCTGCCCTGGAGCAGAGGCTGGGCAGAGTCACAGAATAAAGCAGGGATTTATTCCAGGATCTCCTCATGGATCCACCTTGGGCAGCACCAGAGCCCAGCCAGGGCTGCACCCAAATGACCCAAAATGGTCCCAAAATGCACGAGCGCCCCGGGGCTCTCCCTGGGATCAGTTCTGCTCCATTGGCACCTTGGAGTTCATTGTCCCATTCCAGCTCCAGCCCATCAGTCCCACCCTGCTGGATTTTCTCTCTCCAGCCCACGCTGTTTGTGCTCCTGGGCTGAGGTTTGGATCATTTGTCCTTGGTGCCCAGCTGGAGCAGGAATTGTTTTGTCTCCCTGCTCTGTGCAGAGCTCACCATCCCCTGGTATAAATCCCAGACCCACACACTAAAGCAGCACAGAATGTGAAAACCAGAAAAGCTGAACCTGAGGAGCAAGGAGAGGAGAGTTACTGAGGTACTGAGTTACTCACAGTCCTGGGAGGATCTGTGGCGGAAGGTGAACCTCAGGTGGCTGCGGTTCACGTCCTCGATGGGGATCGCAACCTGGCACCGGGGAGAGGAGAAGGAAACGGTCAGGGCAGCACCCTCAGCCTCCCCCAACCCCATCCAGGCATCTTCCAGCACTTCTCAATGACCACTGAGTGACAATCCCCGCAGCACATCCATCCTCAGCAGCCCCTTTCTGTCTACAGGCACAACAAGGCACCTTTGGAGTGAAAATTGTGCTGTGGGGAGTAGCTGCAAGGCCCTGTGAGCACACAGCCCCTGCTCCCACTGCTGCAGAGACTGAATGGGTTCCAGAAAGCCACCATCAACCTCCAAACGTGGCACTGAGGTTATTACCCCAGCAAAACGACGGGATTAAAGCACAACCAGCTCCCCCCAGACTGTGATGAGTCCAGCACAAGGGGAGGGGAGGAGAAGGAAACAGGGCAGCACCTTCAGCCTCCCCCAGCTCCATCCAGACATCATCAATGAGTGACAATCCCAGCAGCACATCCATCCTCTGCCATTCCCCAACAGCCCTTTTCTGTCTACAGACAATAAGGCAACTCTGGAGTGAAAAATTCTGCTGTGGGGAGTAGCTGCAAGGCCCTGTGAGCACACAGCCCCTGCTCGCAGGCAGGCTGAATGGATTCCACATTTGCAATCTCCAAACCTGGCAGTGGAAAGGTTATTACCCCAGCAAAACAAGCAGGCTTAAAGCACAACCACCTCCCCAAACTGTAATGAGCCCAACACTATGAAAAATGTGGTTTAGCATTAATATCCTGCTCTCCTCTAGGCCAGCTTCATGGAAACAGAGCAAACCATTCCTGAAGAGGTGCTGGAGTTTCCCCACTACAGCCATCCTGAGCAATGGCTGAAATAAAATTCAATATGCAATAAAAGTCAAAGCCTTTCTTAGCTGAGCTATTCCTTGCCCTGCTGAACACAGGCACTGCATTTCCCCACTTTTGTTTCCCACTGGGAGCTGTATTAATGGCCAGAGAACTGTATTAATGGCCATTAACACCCAGAGAAGTTATTTTAACAGTTTAAATACCTTTACAGTCTCAAACCAACGAGGCTGCTTTACTTGGTAATAGATCACTGACTTGTACTCTGAGATGGCTTCATCACCAGCACCAGGAAAAATAACACTCTGCAAAAACAAACAGAAGTGACATTTATGTCACTTAAACTCCACTCTTTCAGTCAAATAAACAAAAAATAAATCAGTGAAGCAGGTCAGAATAAGAGAGAATGTCTCTCACGAAACTGGTACCAAAATGAATACATTGAAAAGGCAAAATGTATTTAATGGTGACAAAAGTTTGGTTGAAAATAAAAACTGGGACCTTAAGCTGACAAATACAGCTGTTGAAAAGGCTTAACACGATATGTATCAAAATCAAAAAGCCCCCAGACATTAAATACTTTAATACCTCTAATCTCTTGCCATCTTCATCATAAACAGACACTGTGACTTCCACATTCTTTGCTGTGGTTTTACTGCCTTTGTCAAAATCTCCCTGCACCAAGGTGACATAGATGTCATTTCGAACATCTCCTGCAAGGGAAAGCCAAGCACAAAATAAACCACAATTCTCACAGCAAACCCAAGCATTTAGGAAACCAAGGACACACAGAAACAATGGCACAACATTTCAAACACCGCATTTCCATTTATTTTATTTTTATACAGCCTCTTCCAGTATTCACTCAAAAGGAGAAGTTTCAACACAGTCATTTATCCCATGCAAAGGTATTTTGCAATTTAAAATATTTTAACAGCCTACAAGAGGTCTCTAATCTCTTACAGCAGGAAGAGGTTTGATGTTTTTGCTGGCCTGGGGGTTGCAGGGGAGGGTTGTATTTAGATTTCTGACTAAAAATGCTCCTTAGCTCCACCCCAATTCAACAGAAATTTTTGACAATGAGCTGGGGAAACAGATTTATAATAATTTTATGAGCCAGCACATATGCAAACAAAGTGTTGAGGCACTGACTTGTAGAAGAAACTGTAAAATATCTGACAGACATCTGTCAGCAGCCACAGGGAGACCTGGACCTGGGGTGAGCTCTGGAAACATCCCACGCATCCCCAGAGCCCATCAACCTGCAAAGGCCACTGCAGGTTCTGCTCTTGCTCATGGCAGTTTTTATTTTGAGAAGCACCACGGTTTTGGGTTGGTTTTCATGGCTTTTGGTTTGGTTTTGGGTTTTTTTTTGGTTTTCGTTTTTTGTTTTTTATTTTATTTTTTTTTGTAAACACCTGAAGTGAATATGCACAGAATACATGTATTTAAAAAAAAATGATGTGGCTCTCTTTCAAATGCATTCTCCAGATCTGGTACAACCCCTAAGAGAGCTGCTATCTCTAAATCAAGCCTGTGCCTCAAAAATCTGCTTTGGATTCAGCACGAGAGAGAAGTTTTACATATGTCCTTGCTATGGGGATAATACAAAGTGTGTACCTGGTGTACATTCATTGTAACTGGGAAAAAAAGGAAAATTTCCACTCTCACTGGGATTTCCTGTCTTCTTGACAGGGGTGGGAGCTTTATTTATTGATGTTGGTATTAAAGTATTTTACATTTATTTTTAATGAGACAACATCTTTGATTTTTTTTTTTTAATGCATACCATACCTTAAACTCATCTTTAATTTTTTTTTCCTCCAAAACCTCCCATACATACAGACATTTAAAGCAAGTTAAAATATAACAAAGCAGCATTCATTAAGTGCCTTACCAGGCATGATAATCTCAGGAAAGCCCATTTTCCGAGCCACTGCTGTTGACCTGTCCACTAAGTGTGGAAACTCTTTCCTAATCTGATGGATATCTCCTGGAAGAAGTTTCAAAGTCACCCACAGACCTGTTGCATAAAAAAACCCACAATTATCAAACTACTGGGATTTTTTCCTGCTTACTATAGATTTCTTTCTACAACTTGAAAAAATGTAAAAACTTTAAAATAATTAGGTATGTTAAGATAACTGATCTTCCTTTACTAAAAAAAATACAAAACATTTAAAACACTCAACAGATCTCATCACTTCACACAAAAATATGAGTACAGCACACAAAATTATTTCTGATTATGTTTCATGTTCTTTGTAATGAGATATTTATCTTCCATGGGGAAAAAAAGCAAGGATGATTTGCATGGAAAAGATTCCAAGCAATACCAGCAGATCCACACCCCAAACTGATTGATCACCACCCCATAACCTGTTTTTACTGCTCTGAGCACACAAATCTACAGCATCAGCTTCACACAGCTGATATTTTTCTGCTCAGTAGCAGAAGAAGCCACTAAAAAGCTGCTGCTTGCCAACTAACATCAGGCACATTTGTTACAGGAAAAAGAAAGATGCCAAAGTGAGGAAAAACGCCCATAAAAATAAAAAAGAAATCCATCCCAAAGAAGCCTCCACTTGGTGAAGTGGCTGGCAATCATGTTTTAGCACAAAATAATCACAGCAGCAATTTACAGAAGAAAATCCTAAAATTAAAAGCAATGAAAAACACCCCAAAAATATTCATCCACAAAATAAATTGTGGGTTACCCTGTTAGAGAATTAACTGTACATTCATTTTGTGTACACTTGGCAGCTTGTCTTTTCCATGGAAGCTCTGTGAGAGTTTCTGGGCTGATTTGTTGCCAGGGATGGTTCTGACAGCTGCTGTTTCACTGAGCTGCAACTGTACCTGCACTGACTGGCTAAGGAACAACTCCTAACCCTTCTTCTGTTTGCTTGAGAACTCTTTTTTAGGGAAAGAACCTGGAATGAATCAAAAACACTGAAATGTTTTCTCCTGTGGGACACACACTGGCCACAGGTGAAAACAAGGAGGGGAAGCAGATAAAACTTTTCCTCATTAGCTAAAGGAGAATCTAAAAATAAGGTTTATGTAAAATTTTGTTTGATACTGATTAGTGCAAAAAGTCAGGAAAAAGTGTGTAGTTTTCCTGGGGTTTGGTCAGACATGGAGTGATACAGGTATTCAGAGTGTTTGGTGGAAACTCTGCATTAATCAGCATAACTCCACATTAATCCACAATTCCAGAAAATATTGAAGCCAGCATTGGAATAACTGGGCACAGACACATCATGATCATGAGATCACACACAAAAATAAATCAACCCAGAGCAGTGGCCTAGGGAAGGCACCAGGGAAGGTTTCAGAGGGGTTGCCTGGCTCTGGCTCCCTCCTCACCTGCAAGCTCAGGTCTCCTGGGGAAGAGCAAAACATCCCAAGTGCAGATGCAGAGAGGAAAAATATGGGCAAGGAAGAGAAGGAAGAGAATATCCTTCAGAGAGGTAAAAATCCAGAGCTCAAGGGCACAAGAGGCGAGTCCTTGAGTCAGCACCTCCAGCAGAAGATCACTCATGGGATAGGTGGGGTTGGGAGGGACCTCTGGAGATCACCCAGTCCTGCCAAGGGCAGCAGGTGACACAGGAACGTGTTCAGGTGGGTTGGGAATGTCTGCACAAAGGGAAACTCCACGTCCTCCCTGGGCAGCTGTTCCAGAGCTCTGCCACCCTCCACGGAAAGAAGTTAAGAAGTTCTTCCTCATGGTGAGGTGGAACTTGTGTTTTAGTTTATGGCCACTGTTCCTTGCCATGTCATGGGGAAGCACTGAAAAGAGTCTGGCTCCATCCCCTGACACCCTGTGGATGTATTTCTATGGAATAATGAGATTCCCTCTGTCTCCTCCTCCCCAGAGTAACCAGGCCCAGCTCCCTCAGTCTCTGCTCATCAGAGGTGTTCAGACCTTTGATCATCTTGGTGGCCTCCCCTGGACCCTCTCCAGCAGAAACAAAGACCTCCAAGAGCTGAACGATGCCACAACATGCAGAGTCCACAGTGGGCAGGGGAAAAACGATGGGGAAGGGGGAAGAGCAGGGAAAAGGAACAAAACCGTACAAAAACAATTCTTTGATCCCAAAATCAAAACCACCACGGCACGAAGCAAATGAAGGCGCAAAGGGAGAGCGGTACCTACCCTGACCCTTGTGGTTGACTTCTTTAGCAGCAATCACTTTGTTTATAACAGTCTGCAGGAAATCATTCTCCCCTGCCACCCTGGGTGAAAAACGGGATGATATGTTCAGCTGCTTGTGTCGAATGGCGTCATCCAACGCTAGCCTGGAGGATGCACATGACGACCAACACCAGGAGACAAAGGGGCACAGAAAACCAGAAGTCACAGTGACAAGGGAACACAAAAGATCGTATCATAGTTGTGACAAAGAGTATTTATTAGTCAACGCAGGACAAAGGACAGGAAAGGTAACAAGAGAGACAGAGGGAGATCATTAATCAGAAGAACGCTGATCTACCACAGAGAGTCCAGCACACCTGGGAGGGCTCTGCTCCCTCAGGGACAGGGACAGTCCTCGGGGAGCAGGGGGAGGTCTCCCAGCTGGGAGTCCCCGGTTATGCAGGGAAAACCCACACAGGCAGTTCACTTTTATATAAATATTGAATTATAGATATATTCATAGCAGACTGGCCCTGCAACAACTCCAGGGTCACCTCTGTCATTCCACAGGTGGAGTGCCTGAAGGAACAGCTCCCATCAATCTCACAGGGAAAAGGAGGAGAAGAGCAGACAACCCAAACTCGGTGAACAAATGAGAGGATGGGGACGATAAATAAACAGCAGCATCAGGTGGCACTGAAGTAAATCTTGCCAAGTGCTTTTGACAGCCATTGTGCTGGTGGCCAGTGAATGAATACAAACAAAGATATGAAAACAGAATTGCATGTGGTACAACAGAAATAAAGCATGGGATGAGGAGAAAAATGTGCCTCATATACACAGCCCAAGTCTACATTGGAAATAACAATACCAGCGTTCACCCTGCATTCACTTATACCTTATTCATGTCCTTTGGGATAGACTTTTTCAGGAGAATGTTTTCATTTATTACAGGGGAAAAAGAAAAATCACACTGTGCATCTTTTTAAAGCTCTGTGTATATGTAACAGGAAAAATGAATTGGTGCTAATGGAGCAGAAAACTGGATGTTTCATTAGCACCCCCTCTGAAAGGTTCATTTTCATTGTATACATCCACACACTTGCTAAAAAAATTACTTTTTTATTGTTTACCATATAACATGTATCCTTCTCTTCCCCAAACCCCATTTTCCTTCAAAAATGGAATTGTACTTTGATTTTGTCATTAGGAGCCCCTATCCCTGCAAGACCTGCACATCTTCCAGTCCTCTCACCAGCCCTACACCTTCAAACCACAAGGGCTTCCTCAATTAGGCCTATTCCCCAAAACAAAGTTAATTTAAGATTTTATTATGTCAAGCTTTTAAAAAAAATATTATTAAAAGCCCATCTGAATATCCATTAGTGGATTAATCAAGGAATTTAGCTCCCATAATTATGTTTTGCCTTTTGGAACAGATGGCAGTCTAGCACATTCCACAATGGGAAAACAAAGCATCCATACTTCATGTAGATTTATTTGCCTTATCCCTTCTACCTTTCCTCACTTCATGGAAGTAAAAACTTATAGGTAGAACATGATCTCTACTGATCTCAGGCAGAGTTAAACCAGCAATGAACTTACTCTAAGCATTCCACCTCTTACACATTCTCCCCCTGACATCTTGAAACAAAAAGAAAACAAGGCCGCAGAACTGGGAATGGATGCTTTAAACACAAAAAGCCCTCAAGTTTCTGGGGATATCACTGTTGCAGCTAATGGCAAATTATCAGGGAAGATGTATTAGCAATACTACTCAGGAGAAAATATTCCATGGTAATAAATTAGCTTAAAATATTAGCTTTTTTAAAAAAAAAAATCAAAGTTAAAATCTTGATTTTTTCACTCCTGCTTGTTCTTGCAGGTGCTCCCTACTTACGGCTGGAAGGGGATGAAGTGCTGCTTGTCCTCATCATCAACCTTCCCGTTAATGATGTCAGTAACATCCATCACTGCAAAGACAAACCAAGGGCACTGAATCAACTGAGCAACGTGGGAAGAGGGAACCCCCCAGGGAACTGAAGCCCCAATGACTCAGAAGAGGGGTGGAATTATGAACTGTGGAATTTCAGAGTTGTCTACGGAATAACAAACGAGCTTTGGAATCTCGGCTACACAAACCCCGGTAGGGAGAGGATACAGCAAGCAGTCTGATGAGATTTGGAGCAACTCTTTGAGTTTATACAAGCCCACAGCAGTTCCACCACCCGATTTCCAGGGAAGAATTGCAGAGGAGATGGAGAGATCCCCCCAGAGGTACCTGCCACCCCGAAGGGCCGGCGCAGCCCCGACGTGAGCTTCCTGGTGTTGTTGTCCCGCAGCTCCATCCTGCCCACACGCACGATCTGACACACAAAACTGATCTTCTCTCTCTTCAGGTCCTTGCTGCCCAGGTCCTACAAACAATAGTGACATCAGGCTGCTTTCTAATAGCTGAATTTCAAGTTCCATTTCGGCAGAGGGTTTGCTGCTCAGAATTTGCCTTTGCTGTGAAAGCCTCTAACAAAAAGTGCTCTCATAGTAGAGCAGCTTTTGTAACAGCACTTCAGCATCTTACTGGAGTTCTGGGCAAATTAATTCCTTAGGAAGTCAAACCATTTCTAATAAATTCAAAAATTCACTTTGGTTTTTCCCAGGGATTGAGAATATTTAGCATTTAGTAGAAATGTCTCGTGCAAGCCTTTGGCAGCACAGAACTGTAGAGTGGTTTGGGTTGGAAGGGACCTTCAAAATCATCTTGTTCCCCATCCCAGCAATGAGCAAGGACACCTCCTACTGTCCCAAGCTGGCCTTCAATACTTCCAGGGATCCAGGGGCAGCCACGGCTTCTCCGGGTACTCGTGCCAGCACCTCACCCTCCCACGGAAGAATTCCTTCCCAATATCCCATCCAACCCCGCCCTCTGGCACTGGGAGCCATTCCCCTTGTCCTGTCACTCCATCCCCTGCCCCAGAGCCCCTCCCCAGCTCTGTCTGCCCCTGCAGAGGTGCCCACGCTGGTGGCACCCAGCTGGTGCCCGCCGCAGGGCGGCTCCGCGCACTCACGGTGAACACGGCCCGCAGGTTGTGCAGTCTGTCAATGTCCTTGGGGAGGCCACAGCTCGACCACCTCACCAGGTAGTTCTCACTGGAAAGAAGGATATTTTGAAGACTTTTTGTTTAAATCATAGAGCAACAGAACCACAGAATGCTTTGGGTTGGAAGGGATTGTGAAGAACATCTCGTTCCATCCCTGCCGTGGGTAGGGACCCCTTCCACCATCCCAGGGTGCTCCAAGCCCCTCCAACCTGGCCTTGGACACTTCCAGGGATTGGGACAATCCCACAGCCTTTTGGGAAACCCATGCCAGTGCCTCACCACCCTCCCAGGAAAGGATTTCTTCCTAATATCCCATCTAAATCTACCCTCTTTCAGCTTAAAGCCATTCCCCCATGCCCTATCACTGAATGTCCTTTAACATAAGCAGATAAAATCAACTTCAGAATCTACAGGAGACTTTTCAACCCAATTTCCTTATCCTAAGGAAACAAACCCTGAGCAGGGAGCTGGCATTTCCCTTAGTGCACACAATTTTTATAAAGAAAGCAGCTCCTCAGCAACCAAGTGTGGGAATTCTGCAGCTCAGCAAGGGCACAGCCCTTGCAGGTGTGCTCACCTTGAATTTCCATCTGCTCCTGGGGAACCACAAGCACAGCATGACCCTGAAACGTGCCCCAAGTGAAGGGACGGGCCTCTGCCTTTCACAGAAATTTGACTTTGCTAAGCCCCCAAACTGCCTCAGTACCATCCCTGAGTGAGCAGAGATAAAAATGGCACTGACCTGATGAATTTGGATTCCAGGGGGTCATACAGAGACATCAGGACTTCAGCATCTTCTCCTATTTTACACACGACGTTTTTTAAATTTACAAACAAAGCAAATGAAGGAGTGGCAGCAAACTTGGCTTGTCTGTTGATATCAATATTCTGCTTCTGAGACTGCAATTGAAGAACAAAATAAAGTTTAACTTAGCCTAACAGACATCCAGCTACTATAAAACTTTCCTAAAAATCTTACAAAAATAAGAGGAGGAGGTTTCCATTGAGTGTCTGCTCCTGTGATCTTTTTTTTCTGTTAAGTTTAATGACAGACAGATTTTCTGGATCTGTCTTGAAGTGCCACACCATAAGGAAAAAGTTTTAGAAAAAGAGGAGAAAAAGGAGAGAAAAGATGTCTTCACTTATTAAGTAGAGAGAACCAAATGGAGTAAAAATAGAGCCTCACACATGCCTTAAAAAAAAATCCAGGAACAGACAATAAAAAGAAACAGAAAAGTCCTTCCTTTTAAAAATAAGCATTCTGAACTGCAAAGGTACTGCCAATTCAAGACTGAGAAGGGCTTTAAATTTTCCCCTTTTATTTCAACAAGTTTTTAGGACTGGCATAAAGAAACCATACAAGAATAAGGATTTTAGTCTTTGTGATTCTCAAATAGAAACTCTGATGACAACCTAACTAACAAACCTCTCACATGCACATCTGATATTAACCCACAAATGCAGCAGATTTATTCTTACAGGTCTGAACCATAAATTCTACTAAAGCCTTTAAAAGATGAAAAAAAACCCAGCCTAAGACATAAAAATTCTTACAAAATGTTTAAGCCTGATAATTCTTCATAAACACATCAAATCCCTCATTACCAATGCTAAAAGTAACTGTCAAGTAATTAGTTTACAGCCTTGTGTTTCCCAGGGAAAAGCCACAGAGTCTCTTACTTTTTCTTCCTGTAGCCTCTCTTCCACTTGCTTGGAAGCTATTTCATGTGCTCTGAAAAGGCTGATGGTGCTGGTCTGCTCTGGGTCCAAAATGTTGCCATCTTCATCTCTAACCACCAGATCTAAATCCAGAATTCTAAACAAGACAGCAAACATGTTTGTGAATTAACAGTGCTGAAAGGAATGCATAAAAAAAAAACACCTGCCAAGTGTTCAACTTGCACACCTGACGTGTGATGGAAAAGAAATTATCTGAGAGATGATAATGCAATTTAACATGTCACCAGCCTGGGGATGCAAGTCACTTATTCCCACACTCAGGGAGAAGGGATGGAAACGAAACAGCACAACAGCTGGGGAAGCAACTTCTTAAACAAATAAATTTGCCAGAGACTTGGTCTCCTCCTCTGATTTATCCAACAGCCTGAACAACCAAGTCCCACCACACACAGCTCATGTCTCCCACTCCCCCCTTCTCCTCCCACTGCAAACTCATGTTTTACCCACACCCCACAAGATAAGGCAGAAGTTGTTCCCTTTTTTTAAAGCAGAAGCCAGATCTCTGTCAGCAGGGTGTTAACATCCATAATTACCTTCTGCAGAGGGGAAGCTTTCTGCCATAATCAAAGCCAAGCTCAGGAAAAACCTTTCACTTTTCTCCACATTTTCCACAGTGCTGGCAGCAGTACCAAGGGTTAAAAAATCAGATCCCTTCCCTAGGACTGCCCTTGTCACCTCCACCCCAATAAATGTGTCCCTATTTCCTTCTAACTCCCAGTGGAGCTGCTCTAACTTTAGAGTTGAAATATGTTTGATCAATGAGCTTAAATCAAATTTGCTGTGTCTGATAAGTCACTCAGGGGCTCAGGATTTATCTGAAAGTAAATTCCACCTGGGCACAACCTGCAAGGACTTGGAAACACGAGCTGTGGCACACAGAGATATTTCCATGGGCTTGGAGGATTCTTTCTCACCCCTGGAAGTGCAAAATCCTTGAGTGGGGTCAGCACCCAAACCCCTCCAAAATTCACTGCATTAATTGCAGATGAGAGAAAGATCACTCAAGCTGCAGGGTGGAGGCAGAAGATTTTTTATTTCTGTTCTGGAGCTGGACCCAGCCACCAGAAAACTTTCCAGCATCTCCAGAACATCTCACTCCCAGATGAATTTTCTGGTGAGAAAATGGTTTCATCAGTGAAACCAAAGGGGAAAAAAGCCAAAGTTGTTTTCTTCCTCCCTACTACTGTTCCCTGGACAGCAGCCACAGCAGGAGAAACACCCACAGAGCACTGGAACTGTCAGAGTCCTTCCATGGCAGAAACTGCCTGGGCCAGGGGAAAAGCTCAGAAATTCAGGCAAAATCTCCTAACCCAGACTCCAACACACCAATGTTTGCACAGGCTGTCAAAGGAGTCGAAGCAAACCCTCCTTTGATTCAATTCCTTTGTTTTAGCCTTTAACTTGCAAATGATGCTTGGGAAAAATCTGATTTTTTTTTTTTCCTTAGTGTCCCAGTTACAGATATTTGCAACTGAACAAAAAAAACCAAAAAAAACCAAAAAACCCCCACATTTTCACAACAAAATTACCTGACCCATTTTCAGAAAGATTAGAAATACAGATTCCTAAGGCTGTTTTTGCTTCCTCAGTTATTCTGACAATATGCTGCAAAACTTCTGTCTGTATTTACAGAAGGAAAAAAAAAAAACTTATTTACAAATCAGTGTTTCTCAAGTCAGGAAAGGTTAGGATATGATTGGGACAGAAAACATTTAGAATTGTTTGGGTTGGGACCTCAAAGATCACCCAGTATTTATAAAGCAGATAATGAATTCATTCTGTCTGGATCCTAAAATCCCCATTCATGCTCCTTTCAGGCACAAGTGAAGGGTTTAGGGTTTTATTAGGAACATATGTTATCTTTCAGTGGAGAGCATTTACTGAGGAGTTCACATTCACCTCCCTCCTGCACTCCCCAGAGAACATTCTGATCACTTAATTAGTCCATCAGAACACTACAAATACAAAGCACAGCACAAGATGTTCCACTGAATTTGAAGGCTGAGCATCTGGAGGTTATTCAGAGCAACTTTTACCAACTCCTCTGGCTACTGGATTTTATCATCTGCCAAACAAATAATCCCAACATCATCTGGGTAATTGTCTGCAGAGGTACCACTGTCCACACCTCAGATTACAAAGGATAATCACTGACTGAATGCAGTTACTGATTATTTTTTTAACTTCTTTTTTTAATCACAGCTTTTGCTGATTAAGTACACGAGCAGAAATACCACAAGTTTGGCAGTTCTTGAAGAATTAAGCAAAAATAAATTAAATATGGTGAGATATTTGCATCACAAAGCATTGACAGACTGGGTTGGTGACAACTTTTTCACTCTCCAGGTGTGAAAGACAACAGAATCCCACACAATGGGCAGGACTGAAGGGAGCACTACAACGTGTTTTGTCTCTCAGGATTCAAAACACTGCTTCCAATGATGAAGAATAAGATTTGATTTCTTATTTTTGATCAAAATGCAAGATCATAATTGTACAGACAAGTTATAACCTAAAACTTGTATTTACAGAAATTGCCTTTAAACCCAGCCAACCATCTGGGGAGAGAATACATCTGAATCACTAAAATATCCAACATATGCAACCTGCACTGCTTTTTGGGGCAATATTTCCTTCCCATCTTCCACTCTCTTGTGCTAAATAGCTCCTTTCTTTTATGAAACCTCCCTGTTCATCTCGTGCTACCAGCTGGATGCTGTGGAAGGAGAGGAACCAAGAGCTAAATGGTGCTTCTGAGCCAAATCCTTCAACATCACATTACAGCTGAGTGACTCGAGGGCACAGGCAGCTGCTGGTGCTCACAGGGTGACAACTGTTTGTGCCACAGAAGCAAGTGGAGTTTCAAATTCTATTTTCAAGGCAGGCAATACTTGCACTTTTGAATTGGCCTTAAAAAATTACAGCTTCATACCACTGTCAAATTGATGATAACATCAAGAGAGAGAGAGAGATGGATTCCACTTTACATATTCCACTTTAAAGATGTTGCCTCAACTTCAATCTTTATCTTGCTGTAACAGAAGTGTGGATATACAAATATTTCATCTACACCTCCAGGGGAAAAAAAGAATCCTCCAAGAATTCACTGACAGCTGATGCATTTACACAGGGTGATCTGGATTCAGGCAGAAAAACTTGGGAATGCTGTTCACAAACCTGTTGCCATAATCAATTTTGGCAGTCACTTTCTTTTTCAGCTCCTTGAGCTCATCCTGGGGCAGGGTCCCAGAGAGGATTTGGGATCTCCACTCGATCAGGTCGTAAATCATGTGCCGGACACTGCGGAACATTTCCCTGTTGTCCTGCTGTTGTGGGGGGAAAAGGGGGAGAAATCAGGTTTGGAGGCTTGGGAATACACAGGGTAAATTGCAATTATCAATAGGAATTCAAAGGGTAAGTCTACAGCAGCCTGGAACAGGAGCCTAACTTCCTACAGCACAGAACATTGAATATTCAGAGCGCTGCACTCAGCTTAAGGAGCTAAATAGGTGTAAATGCTACCTTAACACATGGGTCATGCTGTTTTCAGGCATTCAAGGGGAAAATGTCCTTTTATTGATTCCCAGGGTAGCTTTGTTCAGTGAACCTCTTCACTGAGCAGAGCAGGACTGAAAATGGTGCATTTTAACAGCAAGAGTCTCAAGTTCTGCAACAGATGGAAGAATCCTTTCTCTCCCTGGTTAAACCTCCACAATGACACTTGAAAACCCTTTATTGTGCACATCAGTGCCATACAAGCCCACAGGTAACTTTTAAAAGACAGTGAAACACCAGGAAAGATCTAAACTTGATAGGAAGTTAAATACCTCAAGTAAAGCCTGAAACTGTGGATATTAAATACTGCCCACAGCATATACAAACTTTCCTTGGCAACACTCAGCTAAGCTAGGAATAATTAAATAATTACAATAAAATTATCCACTTAAAAAAAAAAAAAAGAAGAAGAAACTGCAGAAGATGCAGGAAAAGAACACAATGACTCCAGGACTCTGGGAAAAGGATATCTAACTGTGAAACTTAAAGACTTCAGTCTGTTCAGATTATCCAAAAGCTAGCTTGATTATAGTGGGAGAACCTTCACAGAGAGAAAATACACATTATTAAAAGCTCTCTAATGTGGCAGAGAAAGACACAACAGGCACATATGGCTGGGAGCTAAATACAGACAAACCCAAATGGGGAAGAGGTTCCTGATTTTTGAAGCTGCAGGGAATCGTAAAGCAGAGAGATGGGATGCATTCCACATCCCCTGCTCTCTGCAAACAACAACTGAACACCCATTCAAGATTCAAACACAAATTACAAACTGAATCAAGGCATAAATGTGGCTGTTTGATGGGTTTTTGATATGCAAGATAGGGACAGCATGGAATACCCCTCAAACCTGCAGATTGCCCAGTCTGAAACCAGTTACCTCCAGTAAACCAAACCTCCCCCGATTGCCTGGTCTTGGATTCAGAATTATTAGCAAAGAACTAAAGTATTGTTTAACATGGAATCATAGAATGGAATGGTGTGGGAGAGACCTTAAAGCCAAGCCAGTCTCACCCAAAAATTCTGCTGTCCCAGGCTGCTCCAAGCCCCAGTCCCACTTCCCACCCTGGAAGGGTCCAAGCCAAGCTGGAGCAGCCTGGGATGGTGGAAGATGTCCCAGACCATGGCAGGGGGTGGCACTGGGTGGGATTTAAGGTCCCTCGGAACCCAAACCATTCTGGGATTCCACAGCAGTGGAACCAAGGGCAAAGCTGTTCCCAGTGCCCTTCTGAGAGTCTGTTCTTCCTCCTTTATTTCTGCCTTTATTTCTACTCCTTCCCTGCTCCTCACCACACCAACCCCCTGCTACTCCAACTCCTTAAAGCTCTCTCTTTAATACATAATCTGTTTCTTTTCATAGAAGATATTATCCTTCATCTTCTATATTGCCACACTACATCATTTCCATTACACTCTTACTCCTAATCTTTATTTTCATGGGTGTGATTAAAAGCCACATTAGTCAGCACAAACCTCTTCATTACACTCAGTGTCTTCATTACACAGCTTGCACTTTTATGATACAAGATTTCAAACATATTTATGGGAAACAGAGACTGCATTAAATCCTGCTTTAAATAAAGGAATTTCATGTTCCCATTATCTTGTTACAGTGACCTTGCACAATGAGAACATCACAAGTGTGGGCCAGGTACCTTAAATCCCAAGCAGGCCTTGCTTTACATCTGAACTGTAAATAGAATAGAAATTTTAAATAGAAGCTTGAACTCTTCATCTTGTTTATGTGCACTTTCACCTCTGGTTTTGTATCTTCCCATCTGAGAGATTATCAATAATGATCACTGCAAATTTCTAAGAATGCATTTTTATGTGGTTGAAACATTAGCATATAAAAAAAACAAGTATGCAAATTAAGGTGTCAAAATTTGGGAACAACCAACTTTATGTAAAGGAATACTGAGAGGTTAAAGGCCTACATGGATCATTTTACAAAGTTTCCAGTTTACAGCCACAAATTCAACACTAAATACTCAATTATTACATAACAGAGACTGACAGCCTTAAGAAACAGCCTGAGGACCATTTCTTTAATAAAATTACAGGTTAAGTTACTCCAAATCTCTATAAACCATTAAAAAATTAATAATATGTTATATATTATATAAATATTGTACATGATATATATATGTTTTATATATATAACATAAGACCTACACAAAAACGGATTGTAACTGCTCAACAAACTATTGCTAGATCAAGGTAACACTCCAAAAAAACTGATTCTGCACAAGAAAATAAAGAGATTTGAGAAAACAGGCATGAGATTTGTGCTTCAACAAGCACAAAAAGCTGCTGAGATTTTTGCTTTAACAGAGATGATGCTACATGGATTTTCAGCACTGAAAGCAACCTTTAGAAACAACAAGGGAAGGGAAAATTCATGAAGAGTTCCTTCATAAACAGCAGCTCCTTCCCATTTCTCCCTGGACCTTTCCCAGCACCACTTTTCCCATGGAACCCTCCCAGTGTGAGGTTTCCCTGAGCTGTCCTCACCACGTAGAGCTGTCTCCAGATGATGGACCATTCCCTCAGCGTGGTGGTGACCTCCTGGATCAGGGGCAGCTCGTTGGGAATCACAGTCTCATGTTGGCTGAAGAAGGGTTAAAAAAAAAGGCTGAAGTAAGCAGCAGCTTCAGTGAGAATGAAGAACCACAGAATTCTTAAGGTTTGAAAGGAGCTTTAAGGTCATTGAGGATGACCAGCACCACTATGGTCAACACTAAGCCATGTCCCCAGCACCACATCCACACAATTCCTCAGCAATTGCAGGAATGGTGACACCACCACTGCACAGAGCAGCCTCTTCTGGGGAAATTTTTATGCTGTATCTAACCTAAATCACCTAATCTAGAATAATTCCTAAAAATGAACTGTTCATTTCCAAAGGGAACTGAATAGAACAGGGTTGGAATTAGCATCACTTGTGAATTTCTAAGCAAAAATAAGATATTGTCAGATATTGAAGCACTGGACACCTGCAAAGCCACACCACATGAAAGGTATTTTGATGTGCTCAGATGATGGAAACATGGAATGGTTTGGAAGGGATCAAAGGTGATCTTCCACTGATGCCTTGTGCAGGCTGCCCTAGAGCAGAGGCTGGGCAGAGTCACAGAACAAAGCAGGGATTTATTCCAGGATCTCCTCATGGATCCACCTTGGGCAGCAGCAGAGCCCAGCCAGGGCTGCACCCAAATGACCCAAAATGGTCCCAAAATGCACGAGCGCTCCCGGGGCTCTCCCTGGGATCAGTTCTGCTCCATTGGCACCTTGGAGTTCATTGTCCCATTCCAGCTCCAGCCCATCAGTCCCATCCTGCTGGTTTTTCTCTCTCCAGCCCACGGTGTTTGTGCTCCTGGGCTGAGGTTTGGATCATTTGTCCTTGGTGCCCAGCTGGAGCAGGAATTGTTTTGTCTCCCTGCTCTGTGCACAGAGCTCAGCATCCCCTGATATGAAGCCCAGACCCACACACTAAAGCAGCACAGAATGTGAAAAATAGAAAAGCTGAAACCTGAGGCATCATTTCCCCTCTGCCATGGCAGGGACCCCTCCCACTGTCCCAGCTGCTCCAGCCCCAGTGTCCAGCCTGGCCCTGGGCACTGCCAGGGATCCAGGGGCAGCCCCAGCTGCTCTGGGCACCTGTGCCAGGGCTGCCCACCCTTTCCCAATATCCCATCCATCCCTGCCCTCCTTCAATTTAAGGCCATCCCCTCTCATCCTATCCCTCCACACCCTTGAGAATTTTTCCCACCCTCTCCTCATTTGTCCACTCCCAAGGATATCAATCCACACCTCACTACAACATTCATTACTGATTTATTTTACAACAAACAACCAAGATAAAACCAGATGAGCACAACCTGCAATGCCACCACACTGCTCTTTGATTCTTTTTCCCAAACTATTGGTCTCGCAATGAAAAATTAAGACTCAATTCCTTACCACAAAGTTTCTGTATGATTTGTTTTAAAATGAGGTGCCATGGAGGTAAAAAAACACCAACCAGATCTTTGAATATTGCAGAAGTAGGGTACTTAAAGGCAGTTTTGCAATCAGCAAGGAAGATGTCATTATGCAGTAATCTCATGATTAGTAGTTTGATCATTTACATATTTAACAGAGTATAAAAATAAATCAGGCACAAAGAAATAAAACATTTTAATCCTGTTTCACTCCATTTCATACCTGGACCATGATTTATTAATTTCACTCCACCTCCTTTTTCCTCTGGATTTGGTTGGGGTTTTTTTCCTTGTTTTTAACTCAACTTTTATAGTCGTGTTAGAGATTTCTGCCTGCGTGTCCAGCAAAGCTGATTTGATACAAAAGGATCTGAAGAGCTGCTGAACAACAAATACAGCCCAAACTACTGCACACACCAGAGAAAGGAACAGGAAAAAAACCAAAAACAAAACAAAATAACTTCTCAGTCAGGCAGAGAAGTACCTGGAAAGAAGTGTAAGTTACCTGGCAATGCACTGAAACGATGTGGAGAAAACAGGAAAAAGGAGTTTTGTTCTTTTCAAACCCAACTTACCCCTTGCCTTCAACGATTGCTTCCTTAAGATGGATATAGGAGGCAGGGAATATGCCCTTGGAGAGGGAGGGAGAAGAAAAATGTGTTATTTAACCAGCTGCATAAAACATATTGTGTTTATTACCGAAAATATGCCAAAACACTGCAGGGTGTGTAGAGCCATTCACATCCTCAAGCATCAGAAGAGTTGTGTTTGGGAGTTTTCTAACATATATTGAATTTCTGCATTCCTTCTCCTTTCAAGATGCTATTGCAACCTTACAGCTTCTCTGAAAAAATATTCTAAATACATCAGGATGTCAGAAAAGGAACCTTTCTTAAAAAAAAAAATCCAAGCCAAGCTGATACAGCAAATCCCACCATCTCACCCTTCAAGGCAGGAGTTCAGTTTTCTGATCATCTGGGAATGTAATAAAAAAAATTCTTGGGAAGCCACTGGGGGAAATAGAGCATGGGCATGTGACTTTTTACCCCAGTTTAAAAAATATTTTAAAATCACTAAATTTAGAAGCAGTCAGACAAATGCAGCAACACATGGAATTAATTTAAGGCAAGAAAAAATGTCTAATTGCTTCTCAGACTGTAAAAAGCACATTCATGAAATATGGTTTGTAAAAAATTCAATGTGTTCACACACACACAAAAAAAAAAAAAAAAAAAAGGCAAAGTACAAAAATAGACTAAAAACCCAGGCCTGGTAAGGAAATGGGTGGGATGAACCACTCAACTCTGTACTTTTAGACATGCAAACAACTAAAAACACACCTCTGGAGGCAAACATAGCATTTGCAGTGTTTCAGTGAAAAAAGCAGCAAACCCTGAAGTTTAATTTTGTTTAATTATTACTGTGAAGTAAAAGGCTCAAAAAATAAAACACGATGCTCCAGCCAGCATTCGTGTGGTTTCCTCTCTTTTCATTTCAGAAGAGCTGCTGTAAGTGCAGCCCTTGGTGCACACTGGAATTCCAGTGCAGGAGGAGCCTCCTCCTCTCTCCAAGGGGAGCAACCAAAAATTCTCAAGGTCAGGGAGCTGCATTTCACCAGGAATTCCATATCCAGTGTCAGCCTCTGAACAGACCAAGGAGAACAACAAGGTCTCAACTTTTTACTGAGGAAAAAACTGGTGCAGCAGTTACTGCAAAAAAAAAAAAAAAATATATATAGAAAGATTTAGTGACTGATGTACCTTTAAAGTGCAAAAACTGGGATCACAGAAATATAAAAGAGCCTGGCTTGGAAGGGACCTTAAAGCTCATCCAGCTCCACTCCTGCCATGGCAGGGACACCTCCCACTGTCCCAGCTGCTCCAGCCCCAGTGTCCAACCTGGCCTTGGGCACTGCCAGGGATCCAGGGCAGCCCCAGCTGCTCTGGGAATTCCATCCCAGCCCTTCCCCACCCTCACAGAGAAGAATTCATCCCAATATCCCACCTAAATCTCCCCTCTTCCAGCTTAAAGCCATTCCCCCTTGTCCTGTCCCTCCATCCCTTGTTTCTCCATCTTTCCTGGAGCTCCTTCAAGCACTGGAAGGCCACAGTGAGGTCACCTCAAAGTTTCCCTTCTCCAGGCTCAACAATCCCAGCTCTCCAAGCTTTTTCTCCTCCATCCTCTGATCATCCTGGTGCCTGCCCTGGACTCTCTGCAGCAGCTCCATGTCCTTCCTTTGGACCCCAGAGCTGGATATGCCTCTTATCTTTTAGGCCTTGCTAAAACTTTTTATTAACTTGAAAAATTCCCACTGACCAGAGGCTGAGGACACAGAGCAACAGGGACCAGTGCACACCTGGGATCCAGCTCCATCAAACCCACACATCCAGTGCCAAAATCCATCTTATTGCAAGAGAAAAATGAGGACTCACTCTGGCAACACTCACCTTCTTGGATTTCTTCCGTAATGTATAACCCCTGTACCAACCTAGGAGAGAAAAAAGGGGAAAAGCATTAAAAAGCTCATTTATGGCACCTCCCAGCTGCTCTTCCCCTGCTCAGCAGCACCCTGAGGTGGTTTCTGATCATGCTTCAGCCCTGCACATCCCACCTGAATTTCAATTTTCCATAGGCTTAATACCCTGGATAAAACAAGTCATCCTGAAAGGTGCAGAATCAGAGTGATAATGGACAGAAGCACATGACTGAGATGGTGGTTCACATGATGTGTTTAATTGCTGATTCACCAACACAAACAAAACCAACTTATGAGCATTAACTTGACAAAAAATTACTGAGCAGCTACTTCAATTTCAAAACCCACCTCAATTCCACAAATCCAAGTTTTCAGCTGTTGGCCATCTCACCAAGAAATAGGAATACTGGGGAATTTAGGGGTAACATATCAAAACACAAAAGCAAGGAGCCCTTTTGGAAAGCTGAGCCTGGATGCAACATCCACCCCTCCAGCCTGGCAAAGAAGGGTTTGTACACCAAAGCATCCCTGTCAAGGGGAGGATGGGGAGATCACAAAGCAGATGTGGAATAAAAACTGCACTCCCAGTCCTGAGAACAGGGAGAAAACTTCCATGAAGCCAACACATGCTGATAAATCAATTACACACAAAGCCAGAAATCCAAATTAAAGGCTCAAGCACAAGGGATTCATCACCTTCTCCCTGCAGCACTTGGGGTTGGCTTAGTGCCACCTCAAAAATGTCAAATTTGTAACCACCACACTTCACCTCCCAACAGAGGCTGCCACAGCCTCACATCCCACCTTCCCACTGCTTCCCAAGAACACCAAACTGCTGTTTGGTGCACTCCCAGTCTTGGCCAGGTGCAAAGGAGGCAAAGAATCTCTGCCTGTGTTCCCTCCATTGCCTGAAACCCGTGCACGGCTTCCAATCCTAATAAAAAAACTGAATTCCCACAGTTTGAGATGAATAAAGCAACACTTTAAAGTCCTGGAGTTTAAACTGCTGAACAACAGAACTCTGATCAGATGCACTGCACAAACTAAAGAACAAACCATCATTATTTCTTCTCCCAGCCCACCTCCTGAGCTGCCTCAGGACATTCTGTGGAATAAAAGCCCCGTGGCAAAGACAGCTCCCCACGGATGAACCTCTGCTTCCTCAAGTTTTGCAGCCAGAGCTCTCAGGATCATGGAGAAGAGAGCAGCCAAAACCTGCCTTGGAGAACTGGCTGCACTGCTGCTCCTTGCAGAGCTGCTGGTGTGGCCAGGCAGGTCCCACCAGGTCCCTGCCTGCAGCTGCTGCTGGTGTCCAGCTGGAGCTGTGCAGGGAGCCCAGGCTGCACCTGCAGCTCCCACTGTGCAGTCTGGGACACCTCACACAGGGGCAGCGGCACTGAAATGGTGAAGCCACCTCTGAACAGCTCCCCAAAAAAACATGGGAGAGCTGGAGGTGCTCACCTGGAGAGGAGAAGCTCCAGGGAGAGCTCAGAGCCCTTCCAGGTTGCTCCTGAAAGGGCTCCAGGAGAGCTGGAGAGGGACTGGGAACAAAGGATGGAGGGACAGGACACAGGGAATGGCTCCCACTGCCAGAGGGCAGGGATGGGTGGGATTTTGGGCAGGAATTCTTTTCTGGAGAAGAGATGGGATGGAACTCCCAGAGCAGCTGCGGCTGCCCCTGGATCCCTGGCAGTGCCCAAGGCCAGGTTGGACATTGGGCTGGAGCACCTGGGACAGTGGGAGGTGGCCCTGCCTTGGCACTGGATGGAATTTAAGGTCCTTCCCAGCCCAAACCATTGAGGGATTGCAGGAATTCTTTCCCTGGGAAGGAAGTGATGCCCTGGCACAATTTGTGCACTTCTCCTCCCTGGACCTGTTCAAGACCAGACCTTGCCCTTAAGAACCCTGGGACCAAAGAGCTGGAGATGTGCATCCAAGGAAATGATCAATTAAGAATACATCGATAAAATATTTCTGTCTGTCAAAGCTGCAAAAGACACTCAAGAATTTGCTGTGGTTACTCTCAAACAATGCATCCGTTTTGATGAAGTTAAACTGCATTCACAAACAAACAAAAAACTCACAACAAAAACTAAACTTTCCCATAATATCAAGAATAACTTCTGTGCAAATCCCTATTTGGGAAGCCAAACTTCCTTCTCACAGCAGCATCAGAAATTAATTGATGCCTCAACAGTTAATCTTGGTTTTGAGGTTGATTTTCTGTTACATTTCCCAGCAATTCCCCTTAATCAGCCACATTTATTGATCATATGGTTCCATTTGCCCTTTCCATCAAATAATGTCAAGAAACAGAATTAAGACAATAAAGATTTAGAAAGTACTAATTCAGAATGTGGGAAATTACATGGGTTTTAGGTCACCTGCTACAAAATGTAATCCTCCTCTCCTGCAGAGCAGGATACTTGGGAATTCCTATGGCTTTCCTGTTTGGTTTTTACCTCTAAGATTCAGATAAGAAGGAGCTTTCTAACTGAAAAATAAACTAAAATACTTCCTAAAAGAAAAAAAATATTTTCAACATTAATTAGTCTAGAAATCAGCTTCATCTTTACTTTGGTTCCTGGAAGAACACAAATTTAGTATTTAATAATGAAATGTGTACATTCATTTCCAATCCCCTCACTCCCATAAAAAAAGGTGCTTTCACCAAGACTGAAAATTTACAGGGTCCACATACTGAATTCTTTCTTCACAATTTTTCTGCATTTTAGAGAAAAATAAAGATTCCACCATTAGAATTTAAAATGTCAAAACTTCAATAATAAACATAAATTCCAAAATAAGTTCTACTCATGGGCAAAAAAGTAGATTATTATTATTATTTTAAACACAGGGGTAAAGTGCAACTCAGAAATTAATCCCAGCACATGGCAGCAACAGATATCCTACATCTGTCCTAAAATCAGACCTTGCAGGTCATGGATGTGAGACTGAGCCCTCCCAAATCCTCATCTGTCTTTGCAGAGACCCCAGCTGAGCAAGGATTTCCCATGAGTTTTTCTTGGCAATGCAGATTCAGAGGGGGGAAAAAAAACCCAAAAAAACCAAACTTCTACCACTTCAAAGCGCACAGACACACACCAGTCTTCAAAACTACTCTCAACTTTGGAATTGCAGAAATTAATTTAAAATAATATCAAATCTACAGCAGGATGGGAGGAGCAGATGTGGACTCTAGCAGGTATCTATGAAAAAAAATCAACTGCTTTTGCAACAGGGAAAAGGGGTAGGAAAAGCAAAAATCCTCAGCAAAAAGGCTTTACTGACTCTTCCAACAACTTTTCTGTCCCAGGATTATTTAATTAGAGAGTTCTCCTTTGGATGGGCCCATTCCCACCTCAGCCTGGAAATTTGTAGGGTACAAAACTTCCCAAGGGCACAATCCACACCAATTTTATCCAGGGCAAGCAGGAGATCAAACAACTCAAATAATCCCCTAATTTTGGCAGCTCTCAACAGGGAAGAGTTACAGCATCACTTCTATGTCTGTCATAGGTTTGGCTGCTGTGGTTTGGTGATGGTTTTGTAAGAATAGTAATGTTGGGAGTTCTCAAACATCTCAAGAGAGATGTTTGTTGTAGTTTAGGAGAGTTTTTTGAGATTTGAGTGTTAGAAATTTAGAGAAACAATGTTACCATTTTTCTTAAAGTAAAGGAAGTTCATTTTTTGTAATTATTGAAACAGGTTTAGATAATTGTGGTCTGTTGTGTTCAATATATTCTGTTGAAGTATTGAAGACATTAAGAGCTTTTGTAAACTTGTTAACCCTTTGTTTTTGCTTGATTTGTAAAGATTTTTTTTAAGTTTTCCCATCTCAGGTCAGGAATGAGCAATCAGTGCTTGGGAGAACAGGAATTTGCATTTCTTTTGCCATGAACTCATCCCATGTGCTCCAACCCTGAGAGGGTGAAGGTTGTGAAGGTCTTCCTCTATTTCCACCCAGGGGAAAGTGGCTCATCCCCACTGTCCCATTTATTTGGGAACAGTCAGCCTGAATTAGGGTTTCAGCATCTGACAGGATTTCAGCCTGATTTAATAGGGTTTCAGTATCTGACAGAGTTTCACATTCCCTGCTCAGTTTCTCCCACATTCATTAAATAAATCTATTTATATATAAAAGTACAAAGCTGTGCAATATTTGAATCACTACATTTGCATTTAAAATCTTTGCTTTATTAGGGGTTTATTAAAGCAACATCTGATAGTGGAAGGATTGCTTTGCTCAGAGTTAAACTTGGCATTGCAGCAGCAAACTGAGCTCCAAGAAAAGGCCAGCCCAGGAATAATGAGAACATTCAAAAATTCCACTTCAAGTGATGACCAACTCTTGTGGAAATAGCATTGCTTGTTTCAGTAAATATAATATTTTAAAAAATCCAATTAAGCCAATAACTAAAATAAATTTATCACCCTGATCTACCAAAAGATCAATGTCTAGGGAAGCAAATTAAATCAATATATTAAAGTAAATCATTTATCTTGCTTCCATAAGACAAACAATGTTGCACGATTTTAAACACACAGTTTAGTTCTGTGTTCCCCACACCTCTCCAAACTGCAGCACAACATAAAATTCCAACTCAAGGATATAATGAAAGTTTTATTTTTCTTGGATTAAGAGCTGAAAATGTTGTGACAATTTCCACATCGTGTTGGTTATCAAACCCAGCATTGAAATTCTCTTGTTCAAGGATGAGGGAGGAAATATTTTGGTACAGGTAATGTTTGTAGAGCTTCACATCAAAAGAGGCACCTGGAAAAGGCTGAAATCAGTGCACAGCACTAACACAGGCACCCACCTCAGAAGAGACACATAAATAATTCAAGACCTAGGTAACTTTCAAATTCAGATTAAACTTCTTGTAGCAGCAGGTTCTTTTGCATCACCCAAGGGTACCCAAAAAGCATCTCTCATTTCTCTAACGTGGGGGAGATGCTACAACTGATCCACACAAACCCAACTGTGGGAAAATTCTCCTTCCTCAGAAAACCAAAGCTTATTCACCAACTCACCAATCCACTTGCTTCAGCTTCCAACTCAAGAGGGTGACAAACAAGAAAGGAATGCAATTCCCCAAAAAAATCCTGCTTTTCAATTCAGTTTTTGCCATCTTACCCTCATAGGTTTCCAGGATGTGCACGGTGTCCCCAATCTGTAAGGAGAGTTCATCTGGTCCCCTGGCATCGTAGTTGTAGAGAGCTGGACAGAGTTGGAAAACTGCTGTTAGCACAGGCAGACAACAATTCCAGCTGTTTCATCACATCACTGCTTTTATTACTCATTACTGCCATTCTGAATCTTTTTGTAAAAAAAAAATTGCATTCTATAAAAATTCAACCAATTCTTAATTCCATTTATAATTCCCTTTGGAACAAACCCCCCGCCAACAATTTCACTTTCTAAAGCTGTCCCTCACTGCGTTTAAAATGTTTTGCTTCTTCATGGCAATACACTCAATTTTTGTTGTATTTGCCAGCCTTCCACAGCACTTTGTGTCAATTTTAAGCAGTTCTACAAAGAGCTGCTCTGTCTTCCCCTGTCAGCTCAACACACAGAAAACTTACAAAGTGTCTTTAAAAAACTCAAATTGTCACATCAACATTAAAGGATGATTTCTCAATCATTTCATTCATTTACTGCATGCATAGGAGTTGTAAAATATGATTTTAGAAATTCTGAGAGCCATAATCCATTGGATCACACACAGATCAATCCATAATCTATTGGCTCACCCATAGATCAATCCATAATCTATTGGCTCACCCATAGATCAATCCATAATCCATTGGATCACCAATAAATAATCAATAACCCACTGGCCCACCAATAAATAAATCCATTGGATCACCCATAAATCAATCCATAACCCATTGGCCACCAATAAATCAATCCATAACCCATTGGCTCACCAATAAATCAATCCATAACCCATTGGCTCACCAATAAATCAATCCATAACCCATTGGCTCACCAATAAATCAATCCATAATCCACTGGCCACCAATAAATAATCCATAACCCATTGGATCATCAATAAATAATCTATAATCCATCGGCCCACCAATAAATCAATCCACCCAGGCTGGCTGGGTCCTTTTCTCTGAAGAACTCCTCTGGCTTGAAAGACTTTAGAGTTAAGAGGTAAATAAATAAATCCAAGTGCACAAGTGGAAAAAAAAAACATGGAAAAGCAGTTTGGAAAACAGTGTATAAGGTGGAAGATTATTAATGGAATAAAAACACACTACAAGGTAAAAAGAATAAAGGTCAGGTGCACTGCAGAGACCATTACCACCAGGATTTAAATGAAGGTTTTAGAAAGTAACAGTTTCTACTGACATCAAAACAAGCCAAGCTATTTGTGTTTTAATGTTTTCTTTAATTTTGTCATTATTAGAGACAGATAAACTCTCCCTCCCAGGTATCTGGCACAGGGTATCTGAGAGCCATAAATGTTACCCTGCAGGAGAAGGGGCTCTGAAAAACACCTTAACAAAAATGAGCATTTTAAACTGCTCTGAGCAGAGGGATGATCACAGTGCTGAACACAGAGCAGTGGGAGAGTCTGTTTGGAAACACTCCCCAGAAATATTCTCATTTCAGCTTTTGTGCATAGCAGGGAAAACAAAGTTACACAGCCCTAACTCCTCCAAACTTGTACAATACAAAAAAAAAAAAACCCCAACACCAATCCTTGGGATGTTTACTGAGATCCCTTCAATGCTCACAGCTCAGCCAAGGGGCCCCTGGGATGTTCACACATCCAGAAATGAATCCAGGGACAGTCTCCCACCTCCAGGACCCTGACAAGCAACTTCACTGACTCACACCAGACATGCCAGCCAGGAAAAAAATCTGCATTATAACAGATTAAAAACCGGTCCTCTACTCAATTCACACTTCAGCTGAGCATTTCTCCAGCATTTAAGTGGGGTAACGCTCAGGATCAAAGGCAGCAATGAATAAAAGGCACTAAAATTTATGCCCAAGAGTGCTAAAACTGGAGTCTGTCACAACAAGGAAGGTCAGGCAGCAGGAGCTGCAGTGGAATGACCAATTCTTGTGACAGAAGATGACAAACAGCCATCAAATGGTAATTACTGCCCACGCCAGCTCCCACTGACCTCAACTGACTGAGGAGCCAGGGAGGGGTGATTTATCTGTAAAAAAATATGTGTGAAAAATATGCCTGCAAGAGAAAATAAATCACATTTCTGGCTTCCAACAGCATTGACAGATCGGGAAGCAAACAAACCAAAATAACTATAAAGTGCATTCCACCCCTGTGATTACAAAGCAAGGCTTGGACTGCACCACAAACTCCCCTGCAAGGAGCAGGTAACTCCTTCTCACAGGAAGGTTTTTTATGCACAGTGGCATCAAAAGGTGTTGTGATAGAAGATGTTTGATTGGAGCAAATGACAAGGCTTTAATTAAAGGAAAAGACAAAGTTTGGAGGAGTAAAGCATGAAACTGGTATGTTTCCATTTTGTCTTATCAACTGTATCCTGAGCTGTCATTTAAAATATTTAAAAATCTGAGGTATAGCTTTCTATTTTTTAAGGTTGGTTTTTTTTTTAACTGAAGTATGTTTTGCTTAATTTAAAAAAACCAACATCCACACGAGAATCCCAAAGTGCCAAAAGCAAAGGATTGAGTGTGGGCACAGAGAGAGGTATTTTTTCAGCTCTAAGAGTTGATAAAGAAATGAGCAATGAACAGGGCATTACAGTAATTGCACCAAACCCCCATTTCCCATTCAAGAACACAAAACAAACACCTCTGTGAGCTGCACTCATTAATCCGCACACAGCAGAAAAATGAGGGGGCCAGCACTAGAAGAATCAGTGGTGGAAACAAAAACAAAAAGCAAACAAAGGTAGCATCAATTTATACTGATAAAGCTTTTTACAAAAGGTGAGATATCTTAAGATAGCATAAAGATGTTCCAGAGTAATATTCCCTGGTATTACTTTGCTTTAAAGGCTGTATTAATCATTCTGAACTCCTGAATGAACCCAAACTCCATTTAACACATTACCTGCTTTATTTCACAGGACCTTTAAAAAAGAAAAAAAAATCCCTAAATCCTAACTATGCTTTTTCAATAAAAGCAGACAAATTGCAGAGGTGAAAGCAAAGTCTTTTGTAAATTCCCTGGTACTAAAAGACACCTGAAGGTTTTCCTATTTTTTTCTAAAATGAAAGCAGATGATTTAAGTATTCAGAGAGATTGCTCAGTCCTCTGCTACTCACCCAGAGAAGTTTCACATTTCTACACCTGAGGCTAATTGAAAAGCAAAAGGGAAAAAGCAGTGTTTAAGTCGAGTTGTACCTGAGAACTGTTAAAGACAATTATTTCATGTGTACATTAACCAAGGGTAGATCCTCTCACCTTCACCTTGGGTTTTGTTATTCCTGGTCTCACCAAGCTTGATTCAGAGTTCTTTCTTAATATTTTAATTATTCTGTTACCCAAACATTCCCAAAAAAATAATTTCCTGAAGAGAGGAGAAGCCTGGAGAAATTCTCAGATCTGAAGTTACCACCAAGCTAAAGGAGAAAATCCAGCTCGAGGTTCCTCCTGCCCAGTGATGCTCTAATCTTATTGATTAAATCATGAATGTGACTTTTATCACAGGATTAGCCCAAATCCCACAACTTCAAGTAGATAGACAGGATTTATCACCACTTTCCCTTACAAAGGTGAGGCAGTTCCTTTCACTCCTCCTCTCTGGGAGCAGCAAATTCCTGGAACACGCAATGGCTCAGCTGCAAACTCCTCCATCACTGCACAGGGCATCTGTTGAGGGTGAGAGCATCCTAAAGCAGCCTCTGGGACCCCTGAGGCTGAAATCTGAAATCCCTGCAATGCCAGCCTGCCTCCCCTCTTCCACAGTGAGGACACAAAGAGTGAAGGGCCACCAAGCTCTTCTAAGCACCAGCAGACACCTCAGGTTTCACACCAGAGCAATGTGCTCTGCATCACATTTGGTGTCTCGTCACTCACCACCCAAGGAGAATTCATTAATAAGCTGAAAAAACTTCAGAAATCCAGAACCACCCAAGGAGAATTCATTAATAAGCTGAAAAAACTTCAGAAATCCAGAACAATCACAAAGTTGGGGCCTGGCGCCTTCCCAAAGTGCAACCACCCTGCTGAGTCCTGCTGGCAGAGCTTGAGGAGAAGAAAAAGATGCTCATTTGTCCTTTCTACACTCATTAAAAAAAAAAAAACAAAGAAGTAACACCTGGAAAAAAGGGGGATCAGGGGGACCTTGTGGCTCTGCACAGCTCCTGCCAGGAGAGGACAGCCAGGGGGTTTGGGCTCTGCTCCAGGAAAAGGGACAAGAGGAGAGGAAATGTTGCACCAGGGGAGGCTCAGGGTGGACATCAGCAGGAATTTCTCCATGGAAAGGGTGGTCAGGTATTGGAAGGGGATGCCCAGGGAGGTTTGGAGTCCCCATCCCTGCAGGTGTCCAAGGAAGGACTGGAGGTGGCACTCAGGGCTCTGGAATGGGGACAAGGTGGGGATCTGGCACAGCTTGGCCTTAAAGATCTCAGTGCTCTTTTCCCACCTGAATAAATCTGGGATTCTGTGAAATGAACAGTTCTGGACAAAGCCAAGATTTCCAAGAAGCAAGTTCAGTTTCTTGCTTTCCTTCCTCCCCTCTTCCAAGCAAGATACTTTATTTTTAGGGAGCTAATGAAGTGAGATGCTCTGTCACCATTTTAACAGCTCTCCCCCCCTTCTCCTGGCTGATCTGTATTCAGAGTACTTCACCACCAAGTACTGAGGGTATAAAGCTGAAACTAGTGCTAAAAAATATATATATACACATCGTTATTGACTCTAGCAGCATTATTAATGTGCCATAATGCACAGCTAACAAGAAGCACAATCAAGAACATCCAAATTGATTTTTAATATTAAGAAGTCCATTAACTGAAACACCCTGGATGCAAGGAGTAATCACATCACCCCAAGCTCTCAACACTGGCTCTTGCAGAAAAAGCAAGATGCTGATTTAGACTAACACAAAACATTATCCAGAGGCAGATGTCTTGGCACCTGTCTTGTGGTAACTCAGAATCACAAATCAAGTGAGTTTTGATGCTCCCTCAGACCTCCTACATTTCACTGAGGAGCTGGAACTTGGCTCCTGCTCTGGTACCATCCCCCAGGAAGGCAAGGACAG